GCAATCATAAAAGTAAGACACTTGCACATTCTCTAGAAGTATATGATGCTTCTACTGATTTTCTGCAACATCTTAGTAAGGGTGTCTGAATAGATTTGTCCAGATATTTCCCTTGCTGTCCCTTAGGGAAGCGCCAAAACCACAATCCCCCCTCTTCCCTCTGCAGAATAGTTTTTGTTTTTTTACTTAAAAATAGGAACATTGTAAGCATTCCTACAGACTTACATCCGTGGTAACTACAGAAAGTGAGTTATACAAAAATTTTCCTAGCACGAGTTGGTAACTTCTATTACCTATTGACTTAATTGAAAGGTCGAAGAAAACGCAGCTCTTGCTTCAATCAGGTTCCTCGTGCGTGCATTAAGGCAGGTTGCAGTCACAACCATTTACTGCTTAATAGAGGACCCAGTCCAACCAAAACAAATAAAGGGTTGCTTATATAAGTGTGTCTTGGTTTATTATCCCATCCCACTTAGGGGGTTTTTGATCTGTTTTGTGCACAGGGCGGCTGCTGTGCCCACCCCACCACCTGCTTCGCGGTTTATCATGCTGTTTGTGTAGGGGTTTTTTGGTTGGTTGGGGGTTTTTTTGTTTTGGCGCTGTGAATGACCTTGCCGGCTTGGCTTCTTTCGCTGCTCTTCTGTGGGAAGCCCCGAGCCAGTGCGTGCCCCGGCAGGACCCCGGGACTCCCTCGTTTCCCGCTGGGGGCTGCCCGCCCCCCAGGGCCCAGACCCAGGCTGCAGCCGGCGGCCGACAGAAAGCCCGGGGAGCCTCGCTGCTGCGCTCGGCAGCCGGGCTGCTGCTTCCCGCCTCCCGCCCTGCCTCTGCCGGGAGTTTTGCTACACTACAGCTCTTCACCCCCTTCCGCCGTCTGGCTTGCAGCTGCGGAGTTTCTGCTGCCGCTTGCTTGCTACCAGAAAGTTCTGCTTGCAGCAGAAACTCAGCTTGCTTCTCCTGAATTCCTGCTGCAGTTCTTTCTGCTATCCACAGGGGCAGCACGGTCAGCTGCCCCTTGGGGTTCGTAAAGGAAGCTCCTTCTCCATCCCTCCTGCCAGCTGTGTCGGCCATTACTATGTGAGAGAGACGTTTGAAACTCGCGGTACAGCGCCACCTGCAGCCGCGGGGGAATCACCGCACCCGTCCGGACTAGTTGGGGAGCCGCCAGCGCCCCTGCCGGCTGTGAGCGGAACTGCACCAAGGGGGAAATTTCCTGACAGCCGACAGAAGGCTGTTGTTGGGTCTCTGGAGGGTAAGGTTCCGCAACTTCAATATCTAGCATTTATTCAACTTTTTTCTACTTTTTTTTTTTAATAAAGGGTTTTTTTCACTTTCACCCCCTGGTATCCATTTTTCTCACTGGCAGAAGAAAAGAGAGTTATTGAAGCCCTTTCTCTTTAGAGGAAATGGTAATTCCAGGGTGTTTTCTCCTGAAATTTGTCTCAACAGAGCAGTGCATCCATCAGATAGGAGTCCACAAAAAACCTCCAACTGTGCAACTGTGTGAGGGGTTATGAGCAACTACAAGCAATCTGTAGGGCAAATGGATTTGGTGGAATTGTCCTCATCCTCTGTTCTTGTGTAATTTGTGGTAAAATCTACTGCTAATAAAGTTTACTTTGTAATATTTCTGAACTGCACATAGGCTGCAAAACTTTCTTAGACTAGGGATTTAAAAATTGAAGGATTTCTGAATGCTCTGCTTCATGGCTTAACCACCACACAATCTCCAACAATACCAGTCACATCTTCCTGAGCTGCAGCCACAGTGCAGGAAGAGAAGCTGTATCCATGAGCTCTACTATGAACTAGAGAGACCAAATACAAGGAGATCAACATGGACCCTGATGCCCTTCAGTTTGGGCTGCCTTTCCTCTCATGCAGGCCTGTAGCTTAGCTTTAGAGCTGACAGCCAGCTGTGTCCCTTCCCAGTGGCTCTGTGCTCATCCCTCCTGTCACAAACTGCCTCTTTGGCCTCTGCTCTGTTGCCAGACAAGCTGTCAGTTTCCCTTTTCCTCTTTGCCAAGTTCCAACAGCACAGTTAAGCACAGCTCTGTTGTACATGGTAAAGTCAAGCACACCAGCAAAACCCTCAAGATGTGCCTTCACATGATGCAGCACATGTAACCTTAAGATTGGTCTGACTGTTGGTGACTTAAATGCGCCATGGAAACTTTCGCATGAATAAACACAAACCAAATATGATTGATGTTACAAACCTAGTACATAAAAGACAACTCTAAAATAAGCCAGTAGAGTAGTATTTGGTGTACACTGCATTCCAACAGGGTATTTTTATTAATTTGAAAGTTCTTAACTTCCTCAAAGTTATATGCGATTAATTAGGGATTAATTAATGGGATTATTGATATTTGGCACAGTTATAAACAATTGTTACTATAAGCTCTTAAAAAGAGCTTCCAGTGATTTCAGTGCAATGGATTACAACATTTCCTAAGCTGCCATTTTTAACTTCCACCAGACATCACTGTCCTCCATAGCAGAGGTGACAGAGGAACATCTGTCCCTGGTACTCCAAGCCAGACCTTGTTCTTTTAACACTAACCCACTTTTGCAAATGTAGAAATAAGGGACACATTCAACAGCACACCTAGTGCATATGTAGTGATGACTGCTGAACCTTGGCAGTATTCTACAACAGAGATGATAAAATGTTCCACCAAATTACTTGCTTCCTCTATGATATCAGGCAAAGTATAAAAAGAAAAACTGGCAATCTGTATCCTATGATTCACCAAGAGAACTATAAAAAAAGTACCAGGATAGATGTGAACCCCACGAAGCACAGAGAATTAAATGCAGCATCTACGCTGGGCCAAGCTGACAGTTGCAAATTTAGAGATTATATCTTACTATGCTCTGGTCTCTGATCTGACACAATTATTGTCTGGTTGGTGAACACCAAGGAAGGTCAACAGGAATTGCAACAATCCCAGTACACAAAACTGTGAGATCAACAGGCAACAGTACAGAACAAGCACTGTTACGAAATGCAAAAATCTCCGGAACAATGAAATGAGGGAAAAAAAGTAAAACCAAACATTGAGTACACTAGTACCAGTACTATTGAGAAAATAGTATCACTATTCTGATTGTTTCTTTTTCCCTTCTTCTGTGACACTCCCACACTGTCACTTACAAGACCTCTCTCCAGGTCACTGACCTCTGTTTATGGAGCCTTATACTATTGTTACCTGGCCCCTAACAAGTGCTGCCATGTCTGCAAGAACGAAGTAAGGTTTACCAAGTATACTGCAAAAGCTAGAAATAAGGCCTCAATTCAGAAGACACAAAGTACATCTTACTGGAAGAGTTACACATAGTAAGTGGTCACTTATCAAAAAATAAGGACCAGCTATCTACAGAGATGGTACCATCCCCCTAAAGACCACTGCAGCATGTTAGAACATGTGGCACATTTAAAAGGTAGGGTTTTCAAGAAAAAAGTTTTTTGAAGACTATGAACAGACCTTTCCAGTTCTTTATCACTTTGATTGTCTGTAGAAACTAAAAGTGTCCCTGAAATAGTATACAAAAAAACAAATTAAAAGCAAGGTCAGAAGCTACTGAACTGGACAATTCTCATACTCATCCTAGAAAATACTTGTTAAGAGCCATCCATAGGCTCAGTCCCAAACACTGAATCTTTTCCCCTAAAGATTCACCGCCCAAACAAATCTTCCAAGATTGCAAAATACAGGTGAGGAGTCGTGGGGGTTTGTTGCAGGTTTTTTAAAATACATTTTCTATTTCACGTGGGGTGTTTTTGCTATTAGATTCTAAAGCATACTACTTGGCTTGCAGGAAGTTTGCCACTGTCATTGTCTCCACAACTGTCAGAATTGTGGATACTGGAGAGAGAATTGCTGGCTGACATCGGAGTGATTTAAGCATGTTTGAAATCATGCACAGTTGTGTGTCACTTGTTATAGTACAGGGGTAACAGAGTTAATAAATGGCATCTTTGAAGATGCATATGCTTGCCCACTTAATGTTGCAGTTCATCTAAAAGAACAGAAAAGCTTATAAATGAAAAAAAACACATTTTCTCTGATTCATTGTCCCTTCTAGTTAAGCTCAGATTACTACAATAATAACACTTTCAAGCAGTAGTAAAGAATGTTTTATTAAAATGGAAGTTTTTCAAACCTTATGTATCAAAACTAAGGCCACAACTAATGCTAACACAAAGTCAAGAACCTCAAAAGGTTCTTATATGATACAATTTAGAAATCTGAGACAAGGCTATTTTACAAAGTTACTCAAACATTCTGAAATGCAGCATTACTTACTTGTTGTAAAATATTACATCAATTATCCTAGTGATAATATTTAATGATACAAAGTACTGAATTATCAGTGCATATAACCCATTTTTATTTTGGTCCTGTGACACCTAACTTTTTGCACCACTCCAACTATCAAAATAAATGAAAGTACAAAACATTGTAATGGAAACTGCCAACAACTCCTCCCTTTTGTGGTCAGTTAATTTTTTTTCTTCTAATGCTAAATATCTCCAGTCATAATAGCAATAAATTCTTCTTGATTGACTGCAAAAAGAAAAAAGAAAAAAAAAAAAGAAAATCATTAGACAAACAGCAATAAACCTTAAATAAAATAATATATCTGTACTTTAAGTAAAGGCTTTTCTGTTAGTATTTGTTGCATCTGATCCATTACTAAAAGTGTTTACAAATTTGCTTCTAGAACAAGGGTTTTGCAGGGTTTTTTCATGAAACATGGAACCAGAATGCAACATTATGTGGAATACTAAATCCAGAATCTAGCTCACTTATAATCACTTATATTATTTCTAATTATAAAAGTAAAAAATATTCTAAAAGTGAAATATGATAGAAAAAAATCTCTGAGAACCATATGTAAGATGGCTATGGAAAATAGTATTATTTTAAAGGTCTATAAAAATGTTAAGAATGGTACCTAATTTTTATTAAATAAATATTCTCGAGCAACAATACCTTAGTTAGTTATGACTGAATTCAGTTTTATTCTTAAAATCATAATTCAAAACATTTACATCCAACTTATCATCACAGATCAAACAACACTATTCCTGTTTCCCCATTCTATAACACTTACCAAATACAAAACAAATTTTAAGATTGTTTTGTATTTGGTAAGTAAATTAGATAGATTTAAAATGGACATTTGATGAGCCTTTCCTATCTGAACTTTCTTCATTCTTCATTTATAATAAACAGAAATTTTACACAAATGCACTTGAAGAAATAAGGTCATAATAACACATTAATCAGTGCTCATTAATTATTTTGCTGCAGTTATACCTGAGGTACTGACCTTACTCATATGTTAAAACAGTAAAACAGTGAACCAGTGAACATGTTCATTCTGCAACTAATTACTGTACTGGGGAATGATTAGAGTAAGATGGTGGTATGGAAAAGACAAGACACATAAAAAGCCCTGACAATTATCCATCCCAGACAACATGCTCAAGCTGTTCCTAAACAAAGCACTGCAAAGAAGGGAACTACATTCACAGCTAGAAGAATATTAAAGAAATTCGACTATGTTAAAGAATAAAAAAATTAAAAAACCTAAATATGTCCTGCTGTGATGTATGTAAAAAAATAGGAAACAAGTATATTTAGTCTAGCTTAGGGCCCTATGCTCTGAAATACCAGCCCATCACATAGCTACATCTAGTCCTATGACACAAAAATACTGTCACTGTATGACTTTAAAAGCACTTCCACAGCTTTTATCCCAGTAACATAGTAACAACACAAATTCAAACATCGTCTCAAAAATATTCTCTGGTTTACAACATCCTTGAAATCACGCTGCAAAATGGAAATACAACACTGTAATGACAAATTTTGGAACATTCAAAGAAACTTCAAAAAGCAGTGTAGTTACAATTCCCAGTACCCAAAGTAATCCCAGTTAGTCCCCTTCAGATATAGGATCTGTTCATGAGTTAAGCACCATGAAAGCAGAAGCACTGTTTTTTCATGGCACCAGATTTCCCTCAATTCCATGATGTAAGTAATCATAAAAGAACAAACTAGAATCAGAACTAATAGAAAGAGAAAATTGACTTATAATCTTGAGTGTTAAAGGTACATATTTTTTCAGAGGTGGGTTTGGGTACTTGTCTTAATGTTGTGCCAAAAATCTGAGGCATGAGACTGAACAGTGTTTCCCACAGTTGCATCCACACAAGATGATCAAAATTGCATGAACTGACACGACAAAGTTTTTCAAGTTAGTTGTGCTCAAAACCAGAAGTAATTATTAAACCCAGGAATACCAAAGTAAGATTATTTATGTAATTAGGGGAGACAAAAATACATCAAATATACTTTCTTTTACAGAAAACTGTGTAGTAATGTACTCTACCAGTAGAGCTCAGTGGTTTTACTGTGAACATAAGGGTTCATGTAACCTGAGTACCATACAAGATACCTTAATTCACTGTGAGCAAAACAATCTCTCAAATGTAATACAGGGTTTAAACCAAAAGTGGTACTATTCCTGTATTTGATATATCAATAAAAAATGCTAACAATTAACAGTTTGAATTTTTTTTTGGAGAGCAGGAAAAGAAGGAGAACTAGATGACAGCAAGATTTTGCCACATTTGCCAGGTGTTTGAAGACAAATGAAATCGTGATTCACAGAATAATTAACTTTCTCAGAATGAATCTTGAAAAGCTAGGAACAGCCTCAGTTTTCTTTAAAGAAGAAAAAAGCACACAGAACTTTAAGGATAACAAAAATTATGAAATTTATGAATTATGAAAAAAAATTATGAAAATTATGCTGTCACTCTTCCATATTCAATCTTCTGCTTGATTGCTCTAACAAAGACAATGAATGGATGATTGAATAAGAGAAAACTGAGCCACTTAGTCACAGCTGATCAATCTGATTTAAAAAGATGTAGCACTGACACAAAATAGTGACTCAGTAACCCTCCTGAAAGGAACTAACAGTATATGTTCCATATGTAGTACCCAAATAGCAATGTGACGAAAGAACATTGATCCACAATTCTGACATCTCATTTGGCAGCTCCAGGAGATCAACACATGACAAAACATATTTGACAAAGAGCTATAATTTCACTCACCTCTACGGCTATGACTTCCAAAAATAACACCTACATTGAATAGCATAGAAGACTATCTGTCAAAAGGCTTACAACACAATTTTTTCCACTAGTACATGTGCATTTTGAGCCCAACATATGCCCACAAGCATAAATATCATTGTCACAGGAAAAACTGATGACCTGCTAGTGAAATCTAAGATATGAGTCATCACCCTCTAAGAATGGTGCCTGATGGACTGATACAGTCTTTATGTGCAAGATCTTTAAGTGAGTGATCTTCAAAATTCAGGTATTAAGGTTTCTAATGTAAAAATAAGGTTGTTTTGAAGATAATGAAAAACGCTTTAAGTTTCAGTTTTCACAGTGATTTAACACACATAGTATCAAACTTGATTTGCTAATTCATTCTTTATCTACCTAGTAAGTTCCTTCTGTAGCCTACTCTGTATTGACTTTGTCAGTTGCAGAGCCGTTTTTCACACTATGCTTTTCAGCACTCCAAGAATCAGAAGTATGTTAAGGAGTCATGCAAGCTGATCCTACATAGACCCAGGCTACTTCCAGCATGATTTATTAGCTTAATGCTCCATAACTAGTGCTGAAACCACAACAATGACACATTGCCACTTAAAATACATTGAGTAAGTGACCAAAAATCTTTCTCTCAGCACTTTATTGCTTTTACTGATTAATAAGGAAATAAAAATGTAATGTAGGTACACAGAATCTCTCTTACTTCTACCTTCAACTACACTTTCACCCATCTTTTTAAATAGACATTGGGCTGAGTAAGAGTTGGTGGTGAATCAATTCTTAAACTCAAGGATTAGTAGCTGTCAAAAGCAATTGTCTGCATTATTTGTAAACTAAATTATGAGATGATGAAGAAGAAACTAAGATGAAAGTAGTCTAGAAGGAAATGAAAGAGGACATTTTCACAACAAAATAACACCTAAAAAGAGAACAAAATTAAGAACAAGATGATAGGGTGTTGTATTTGCCAACACGTACTTTCTCCATCTCCATCCTTATCAAATTCTTCAATCATAGCCCGCAGTTCTTCATCAGACATATTTTCACCCAATTCTCTAGCAACCCGGCGCAGGTTTCTCAAACTTATTTTACCAGAGTCATCATCATCAAACAATTTGAATGCCTTGAGTATTTCTTCTTGAGGGTCTCTGTCCAGTATCCAATCTGTCACTGCAAAAAGGATACTTAAGTTAGACTAAAAAATTCAAAAAGGTAAACTCAGAATGACCTTTGCAAACTAGGACAATATGAAGAACACACTGATTTCACCTGCTCTTACATTTCTATAGAATTCAATATTTGTTTGGCTGTTGCCTGACCTCTCTTTCTCACCTCTGTTTTCCCAAGTTGAGTTGCTCTTGGGGACATAACTGCTGCCGTAGAAAGCTGCATGGCAGTTCAATCACACTTTCCACACATTTTCCAATAGGAATTTAAAGTATACAAAAGATGCCTCTCTTTCAAAATTCCAAATTTTCAGAAAAAAACCACCATCAACTGTTTTAGATGAAAGTGTGAATTTTTTTTACTTTACATGTTTTCATCAGGAGAGAATTTTGAGCTGGAGAGAACACTGAAACAGTAGGTTCCACACAGAATCTTTCTTTTAAAAATAAAACCACACTAACACAAAAAGCCCCCATAACCAAGCAACTGATCACATCCCAGCACCCCCAAACCTGAAAACAAAAAAAGACTAAGCACAGGGGCTGTGAAGAGGATGCTGCTATGAATTACAACATGTTTATTCTGAAAGGATTCTTCAACCTTTATTATTCTTTTCAAGACAACCATTTGTCAGTTTCTGCAACAGAAAATACAAACTTGCCTCATGAAATATGAAGCAATTGCTTCAGAGCAACCAACAACAATGTATCTCCACATCTTTGGACCTACCAGTCTTGCATTGCAGGGCAAGTCTTGTATTATCAAGCCCTTAAAATCACATCAACGCTGTTTGCACAGAAAGAACCACTTACCATCTGCTACTAACTGCAGATGGAATGTCTGCTCTGGCTTAGCTAACTTGACAGGAAAGAATTTTTCATGCTTATACAAGCCAACTAGAGGAATCAAGTTTATTTATCTGCATATTTACCCTAAATTTAAATATTTTCTTTTAAAACAACAGTGCTGCATGACAGTATTACACAATTTGAAAAGTGCTACCTTTTGTGACAAAAAGACAACTGAAAAATAATAAAATGTCTCTAAATACAAAACTATACATGACAAAATATAATTGCATCTTTATGTATTTCAGTTGAACATTAAATTAAGAGAAATTGATGGCTCAAGAATTGTTTACCTATATTCAGCAGCTCTTCACAGTTAATGTCTCAATAAGCTATTTTATCTTACTCCCCAGTCTTTCTGTTAGAAGTGATATCGTATTTAATTCTGTGTCAGTCATATGGCACCACAGCAATACGCTACTTCAACTCAAGTTTTCCAACAGGTTCAATCCCCTTCTAAGTATATACTGTACTTTCTACATGAATTTCCTGGCTTCTTGCACCACTTAATGACACTTGATATTGACAGCCAGGACAGAACAAGAAAACAATGAACATGACTGGGCATCGGGAATTTAAAAAGTAATTGCATGGTAATTACAGTATATTAATTTTATATAATATTACATAATATAATATGCAATTTTAAGACCAGTGTTACTATGAAATCAATACACTAATTTTCTTCCTAATACTTCCACATAGACTTTATAAATCAGAAAAGACCCAAAAATAATGTTCTCTAACTTTGAATATAACTATAAAAATATTACCTGTCATTAACAAGATATTTTGTCCAGTACTAACCTGTAAAATAATTAAATGCTGCCACATTTCAATCACTAATTCTTTTGATACATTAAGATGATTGCTATTTGTAGCCAAGAGCAAGTACTGGGGATTTGGGTGTTTTGTTCCATAAAATCTCCAGAAATAAAATACCTTGAAGAAATGGACTATCATGAGCATAATGAACTATAATGAACGTAATAAGCTAGAAATATAAACCCACACAGATTGTTTTTTGGTAAACATAAATTGTATGCAAAAGCATAAATTATGCATAACAAAAATCCCCGAAAATCTTTAAAGAAACATCAAGTCTTAAAATTCTGCAGATCACCACAAACTCAAAGTACATGAAATTTCACAATATGCAAATTTCAGATGGAAGACACAACTAGTGCTACTGGCTCTATCAGCAGTTGAAAATTCTTGAACAATATTTAAAATCTAATATTTCAATTTCTCTAATCTTCTTTATATATGAAGTCTGTAGTTTGCTTGTCTGTGTATGCATTCCTTCTCATGAAATTCAATGCCAAATATCTTTTCCACAGCAGGGAGAATTTTACAGAGATCATGAACAGGACAAGAACATCTACACTTTAAACTAGCATTAATTCCTCTGTTTAAGCTTGAAAGAGATTGAAAGAGATTGATACCCTACTTCCTTTTATACTGTAGCTTTCATCTCTACATATCAAATTAAGAATTCAGCAAACAAGTATTTATCTTCCTTTACTATTGACCTATATTAAACAAAGTATTAAATGAAATCTCCCACTTCTATTTCTTAAATAATTGAAAAAGCCCACAAAGTACAGCTTTGAAATTGTACTCACTATTATAGGCTAAATATCTCTATAGGTAGAAACACAATCAAACACATACCAACTTCATTAAAATCTTCAAAAGTGATCTTGCCTGTTGATTCGCGATCATAATCTTTAAGTATTTTCAGGACATCAGCTTTTTTCACATCAAAACCCAAGGCTCTCATTGCCACCTTTTGGAATAAAATGGAAGTGCAATCATAGATAAGGATCAAAATAAACATTTAATAGGTTTTCCTTTTTATTTCATTTATTACCTTCTTTCCAAGAGAGAAAGAGCATATCAATGGTTTAGTAACAATAATAAATAAATAAATAAAAATAAAAGAGGTTGGGATATTAAAACCATTTAGAACTACTATTAAGAAATGGAACATCCAATTACAGTGAGAAAAAAAACCAAAACTTTGCATTTTCAGGGATTTTACGGACTGGACCAAATCCATCTCAGGACAAGTAAATTTATTCCTCATCTCTAAAACCATTTCAAAATCTTATCTTCTTAAGACAAAACTGGAAGTCATTCTGCAAATTGTATGCAACTGTATGTGCATGGATTTACAGGTCCTACAAGACTTTTAACTGCTTTTCTAGCCACAGAAGCCAACCTACATTTTACTTTTCCATTAGTGTAGAAGTCCACATTTAGTTTCCCATTTCACCTCAGAAGGCAATTGCTCAGCACACAGCACCCCTAACATCCTCCAAACTGATGAATACAGGCTAGCCACATATGGAATACCCCTGAAGTAATTATTCAATATATGCTGATTTTTTGTACAGGAGACAAGTAATTTTTTTCTTTATGTGTTTCTGCTCTTTCACAGTATAAGCTTCAGGGTGATAATATTTGGTTAGACAGCTAAGAAAGAGCTTTTCAAGTAATAATAAATGATGGGAATTCAAAGCATACCATAACCAGAAAAAGCGTAACCGTAACCAAGAGAATGCCCAGCACAACCCTAGTCATAGTGACTTCCAGCAAAGATAAAATAAGTGAACTATGAAATAAAGAGAAGGTAATTGCTCTACCTAACACACTCCTGTAGCAGCAAATTAAGTATAAATAAGACTTTTCTCCTTCTTCAAATTACTTGGTAGAGCCACACTATAGAGCCAATACACTGAAGTAGGCATTCTTTAAAAAAAAAATAAAAAATCTCACTCTATATGTGACTGAAACACTGGCCTCTCCAAAGCTACTTTTTGTTCTTGATGTCTTAATTAGAATAAAAATGCATAGAAGATTTAAGGTGAATTTAGTGAACCCCACTTACTACTCTGTAGACTTTCTGTGGGAGGCCTTACCTAGAAATACATCCTAAACTCCATCTGCTAATAGCTATTGTAAGGAGCATCCTTCTTTGGGAAGGGCAACTACTGAACCTCCCTCAAAAAGCACACCTTATTCCTACAAATCATAGGCTTTCTTTTGAAAAATACAGGTAAGCTTTGGCTTGTAGTCAACAGTTTTACAAATTTAATTTACATCTTTTACTTTCACATCTGAAACCAACACCAAGCTTTAAGTTATACAGTGTCTTTAAAAATAATCAAACAGTTTTTCAAGAGTTTTTCCCTCTGTCCAAGCTTATCCTTGGACAGTTTTTCTATCTGTCCAAGCTTATCCCAGGTCAACAATTATACCAGGGTTATTTAGAATGCTGTAGCAATTCTGTTGCACATGAAGTATATAAAGTGGGAAGAAAATCTTATTCTTACACCAACAGAATATTTCCCATTTGTTCTTTATTTTTTCCTTTGCTCCTTTAACCCAGCAACACATCTTGAAGGAAGTTTTTAAAGATATAGCCAGGATCTTAAGAAATCACTATGGAACAGATATATTATCTGCTATAAAATTGCTTAAATGAAAAGAAACTTCTACCTTTAATTCATGATAATTTATCGCTCTATCCTTGTCTGTATCAAACAATTCAAAGGCATCTTTAATTTCTTGCTTCTGTTCCTCAGTCAGTTCTCTTCTTTTCTTCTTTTTAGTTTTGTCTACTGAGAGCTCATTCCTATATAAAGAAAAGGAAACGTAGTGTAACAGATTTCTACTGGGAAGATGACACTGTAGATAACCTTTTCCTCCAATAAGAAACTCACCATAATTTTAGGAATCACCACCTTACCTAGTCAGTATTTTCCCAGCTTGTATTCCCAGTTTAAAATAACTTTAGAAATAGACAATTACCTTGTGAAATCTGAATGACACCTCCCATCTGCCACCCAAAATAAAACCAGCAGAGGCATTTTTGTTAATAAGCAGTAACAATAACAACAACAAAAAAAAAGAAGGTAGAAAAATTACCAGTGAAAAAGTCTTCTTGAGGTTACAAGCTAGATTAGCAATTGAAATTATACAACTCATGAAAACAGTTCGTTTCTACACTGTAGCTTAAAAAAAATAAAATAAATTTGGGCACTGACAGGCCAGGGGAAGCCAAACTAGGCCAGACAGTCTAGCTACTAAAGCTAGCATTAGGTGCTACAAATCGGCTTTGTTGCCTGTAACGGTTCTTAGATAAATAATACTTGCAGGATTTTTTTTAAATCCCTTAGATCCCACACATACACATTGTTTTGAAAATCTTTCGCTCTGTTTTGGTATATACAAAAGAGAAAAGCCCTCCAAATCAGCAAATCTTGCTCAAAGACAGCCCCCTTTTCTTTGGCTAGTCTAGGAATAAGCTTATGTTTTTAGAGGAGCATAGTAAAAGGACAAGAGACAATAGCTACAAATTTTAAGGGAAAGAATTGCAGCTGGAGGAGAAACTGCAGCTGGATCTAAGGGAAACGATTTTCCCAGTGCATATGGTGACATGCTAGAACAGTTCCACTGGGAAGGAGTCTCCATCATCAGAAATTTTTTGAACCTGACTATAAAAGGTGCTTAGCGTCCTCAGCCAGCTTTATGTAGAAGGTGCTGGACTAGATGACTTCCGGAAGTCCCTCCTAACCTAAATTACTGTATAGTTTTTGTTATACTCTCAGGAATATTTTTTTATTCTCATTTGTCCTTTTGCACTAGAAGCAGAATGAGTGCTGTATCACCTAGTGTAGAATGCATAAAGATTACTAATCAGAAAACTGCAAGATTATTTTTCTAAATCCCCTCTAATAAGCTACTTTATACCCTTCATTGTTGACAATTTGCTAATTTTAATCAAATCCTAAGCTTAAACACTTATCTAGCTTTTAACAACTACTGAAGCAAAAATCCCAAATACAGACAAGAAAAATGCAAGCTGCAGAAGCTGAACCTGCTTCAAACCACAATACCCTCAAAAAGTAAGATCTCTTTAACAGACCAATTGAGACAGTAAGATTTCACACAGGCTTTGGATTACTACAGCTCTTGAAAGGACTAAAATAACTCTGAGCTAGCTACGTAGTTAGGGTAGTTCAGATCTAGGGAGCCCAGATTTTGTGAGCTACGATGAAGAAATCAATTTATAAATCTGAAAGCAGATTAATACCGAACTCTTCTGAAAGAGCAGTCTGAGTACTTAAGTGTTCATTTAGTGCTTAGCATAAAATAATTTATCAAAAGAAAAAGCAGTACTCAAATATAAGCAGTTCAGTGCCACTTCTGCAACTACTTTAACCATACTAAGCATGAAGTTCTTAGACTTGAAAATTAAGGATAACAGTTGCTATGAAAGCGTATTAATTACACTTGAAGACAAGTATTTGCCAGGTAGTGGGATTCATAAGCCAGGCTCCTTTATACAACAGCTACTAAATCAGAATTTATAAACAAAACAAAGCCGAGCCATTTAACTTTATGCCTATTCACAGGCCTTTTGAAAGCACATCAGACAACTCAGAAGCAAACCTCTCAAGGCCAGACGCGCCGGACCCTTCCCACCCTTCCCTCTTCCGCCAGAGAGACGAGCCTGATCCGCCCCCGGCCGCGCCAAACGGATCAGATGTGACCGGCTGGTGGTCGGGGATGACCCAGGCCCCGCCACGGCCTGACGCGCCCCGCCTTACGCCAACAGCTCCCGAACGGGGGACGGCCCTGAGGGATCCCCACCCGCGCTCCCGAGCGGGGGAAGCAGGAAAGCGCCGTGCTCGTACCGACCTGAGGGCCAGGCTCATCGTGCCGCTGCCGGGAAGCCGGGTCCGGCAAACGCGCCCCCTCCCCTCCGCACGGCCCGGCCGCGTCCGAGCCCCAGCAACGCCGCGCTCCTGCCCTGGACGACGCCGTTCAAGCCGCGCCCCCACCAATTACCTATGTCTGATTGGCCGAGGGTCGATAAACTCCCGCCTGCGAGTCCTAGGCGCTCTGCTATTGGCTGAGATCCTGCCACTCAGCGCGGAAGGGGCTGTCCCTGCTCTGAGCTGGCGATGGCTCGCGGCAGCGCCTTTGGCCGCTGAGCCGTTTCGGCTGCGAAACGGGCAATATGAGAAAGTTTTCCTAAGGAAGGATGTTTCTTGATGTTTGATCTTGATTTTCAAACCTAATCAACAAGAAAGGAGATTTAATTCTTGAAACAGATAGACGCTACAAAGCAAGCTTAAAGTGATGTCCAGGCGTTATAAAGAAAAATCTTTTGTTGGAATTTCCTTGTTAAGGTCTAGCGCACGACGTGTTTCAGTGATGTCAGACAAACAATTCAGAATTTCTTGGCCACAATTTGGCAGAACCCCCAAAATACGGAAGAAATTATTAAAGGCAACTCAGCAACTGTGCTGAATCAGCTCCAGCAGACCACTTACCAAGCTACCCACCGACTCAAGGACTGGGCATGTGGACTAATTAGCATGGGAAGTAAGAGAATAATTAACACACAGAAGATAGAATAATAATTAATACTAGAGCTATGTAACCTGAAGCCAATGAACATTAATGCATTTGTTAAAAACGCCAATCACTTGTTTTTAAAATTTTTAAAAGTTTAATAGTAATAAATTGGTTATAAAAATAGTAATACAATTAAAGTAATAATAATTTGGACGAACTGAATTAGGACAATATGAGACAATAAAGACAAAGAGTTACAGACGTCCGGGTACCTTTTTCTGGGCATCACGAGCCTGAAAAAGGACACCTGTTAACAAAGGATTAACCCTTAAAAACAATAGCCTGTTGCATATTCATACCCCTCATACATGATGCATAAATTCCATTCAAATACAGGATTCTGTCTGGTAATTGTCAACTTCTTCCTTCAAATCCTAACAGCGCCTTCGAGGCGGGAAGAAGTTCGTTTCTTCTGATAAGAGGGCCATAAATTCTTCTTCTCTGAAAGATTTAGGTGTCCTGTGGCTGCTATCTCACTGCGAGTCCTTTCTTTTTTAGAAAAGTATCTTACATAGCATCGTTTCTATTTTAACATTTTATAACCTAAAACTTATTTAACACAGTACTTAAGAAAACTAATACAGCATTACTTTCTAACACAACACATATAATATTCATTTTAATATTTGCGAAAAGCCAATCATAAAATACATGCATTTTTCACAGGAAGCATTAACCAAATGGTGAGTGAAGTGTGGGAAAGTAGCACCAGGAGCCCCCAACTGCACCAAGAGCCCCAAATTGCGCTGATTCATCCCCACTCTCACTTCCTCTGCATGCTGATCCTGGATCTCAGCATAGGAGCCCTTGGTTCTTGCCTGAGCTGTACTGGGATTATTCCTGTTCTTGTACTGTGTGCTGCTCTTGCTGACATACCAGAGTTCGTGGCCTGGCCACGAACTTGAGTCATTACCTTGCCATTGTCTACAGTCACTGGGCTGCTTACAGGTCAAGTTACTCTGCAGGGAGGTCACAATCCCTGCCTGTGTTGTGACTGCGCTTCGCTTCCAAGTTGTCCTCTCTCACGGTGTACCCGTGCCCTGGCTGCTCTGTGTCAAGCAGAGTGAAATACCTGATACTGATAGTCTGTGTGTGCTTCTGGGAACTGGAGATCCACATTCAGGTCCCTACTTCTAAATTTATAAGCTAAAAAGTTGCTCCAGAAACCAAAGTTCCATTCTTCGTACATTGATTTAAGTTAGCAGCAGTGCTCATACTGCATGTGAAATAGAGATGCAAAGAATTCCAAAGAGAAAAGACAGGCTCAAATAATAATATCTAAAAATATGGTGGTAGTAGCAGTGACTTATAAATCCTTGCATTTTCAAAGTTGGATAAACCCGTCCTAAAATGACCTCTTATGAATAGAGTTGGTAAGTTAGAATAGCACTTGCCTGTTCCTCACGCATACATATTGCCAGCTCAATAAGGAAAATAATTAATAATGAAATATACTTAAAGATGCTACTGGCTTTTACTTAATTTTCAAACTCATCTATTGCTTTTAAAAAGTCATTTGTGGGGCTGTCTGCCAGGTCTGTCTTCCCTTTGAGTGAAAATAAATTCTTCTGTAGTCCTAATTTTATTAGTATTTGAAACTATCCTACCACTCTGTTGTCCTAAACTGAATTTGAGTGTGCAGAAGACTATAAACCTCATCCCAACTGCTCAAAATCAGATCACATATCAGAACTGTAATTAAATTAATCCTGAATTTTTTAAAGGAGAAGTTGGGCAAGATTTCATGCAAGTCAAGAGAGTTCTGTTCATGTCACTCTTAGAACAAATCATATGTAAAAGTACAAAGCCATATTAAAAACATACCAAGTATCATTGCCAGTTTGATGATTGTGAATGCATTTCTTTGTGCATCTGGACCAAACTCCTGGGAAATACCTGGCACAATTGCAGAAGTGTTGCCTAAGTTTCTGAGCCTTTTTCCATGTCAGGTCCTTCTAAGTTTTTTTTTTGTTGTTGTTGTTTGTTTGTTTGGGTTTTTGAAGTTTTTATTGTTTGGTTTTCCAATTTTAATTTCTGCTGAGTGCCTGATTGCCTCCCCAGGACTCTGTTGGGCATGTGTGGGAATATGCAGTTGGCTCTAAAATAATTTTTTAACCTATAATTTTTAAATTATTGTGAGATTAGTCTGTCCAATAAAATCTGAGTCGTTAGGAGTAACCATGCTGAAGATGGTTTTGGATAGCACAGTAAAAGCAAGGAGCAGACTTATAACACCGCTGGTTTCTATTTTGATATTCGATTCTGTTATTTTCATGGTAAATGCAGCCCCCGCCCGACTTGTGGCCACCCGGTGGCGTCGCTCCCCGCAGCGCGGCGCTGGCGCGGTCAGCCGGCAGGACAGCGAGGGGACATCGCCACCCTAGGGACACAGCACGGGAAGGGGCATCCCGCCCCTACGGAGCCTGCACGTGCAGTAACAGGCTTTGGGGTAGGATCCCACTACGCCAAGCAAGGCGCGGCTGTGTAAGCTAGTAAAGTGACTTCGCAGCATTCTGGAGTGCCTGGACTACTGATGCACCTCGAACGGCTTTCTGACTGCCCTGAAAACCCAGGGCAATACAGCTAAAATGTTCTGGCTAGCAGCTCCCTCGTGTAATAGCTAAAGTCAAATAAATTTAAACCAGAACATAATGAATGTTTTTTTTTTCATTACTTCTCGATAATTTCTACACTTCCTAATTCAATTTGAAAGTGAAAGGACTTTAGATGGAGTAGTAGTATTTTGGGTGATACATGGTTGAATTTTTAGACCCAAGAGGTACTGCTTACTGATTTAAGTTATATGTGCATTAATTATAAATAGGAACTTGGACCAGTGTTGGTTGAATGCTGAGACCTAGATTTTTAACATTAAATAATAATAATTCCTCCTTTTCCTCCACCTTTATCTCCCTCAGGCTCTCCTTAGCAGAGCTGCATTACTTTGTTTTCTTTGGCTACAGATGTCTGCTTTTACAAGGCAAAGTGCATGTACAATGTGTAAACATTTTAAATGCAGTTTCTTTCTCAGAAGCATAATTCTGCTAGGAACTTGTAAATATAGTCCATCTAGAATGAAAAGTGCTTCTGTTGAGAAATATGTAGAAATCATTACTTAAGTGCATAGGATTATAATATTTTATTATGATAATACATGAAAAAAAATTATGTGCAAACTGTAGTTTAACATTGTAACAGCCTTGACAGATTACAGAACAAAACTTCCCATCTGATTTTTATATCAACTCCCCAGTCTATTGAAAACTGCATCAACATATATTTAGATGTTACTAAGAAATCAACATAGTTCTAAACGTTCACATGACACAGTATTTAAACTTACAATGCATTTTTCAAATAGTTAATCCAAGTAGTGTTAAAGGACCACTGTCAAACTCTTATGATTAAAATTTGTTAAGTCTTAACAAAAATAATCAGAAACCATTCTCTTAAGAGAATTTAAATATTATTTATCTAGTAGTGAATTTCTTGTAATACAAAAAATAATTTCATGACTCAAAAAACTACTTTCATTTGGATTAGCAGCAGTTTACTAACAAACTCCACTTTGGGTTACGTGCATGTAAAGTTCATTTCTGAGCTAGGAAATTATCCCCTAGATTTTGGTAAAGTAAAAAAGTCAAAGTTTTGGTTCGTACTTAGTGGACTTAAGCATAGCTTAATAGAGCATTTTGACAGTGATCTGACCATTTAAGGATCTTTGCTGATAGAGATATTGAGCACAGATTTAAACACAAATAATGGAGGATGGAGGTTATTCTTTCCTTCTGAACTGATGTTGCCTGTGAGTCTTCTCATAAAAGCTCAGGCTTTAAAATATAGTAAAATCTGGCTACAGAGATTCTAATATTGGATCAAATAAACAAACTGATAGAAGTATAACACAGAATCCCAATTCAAAGTGATCTTACTTTTCTAGTGAACATCTGCAAAACTTAGCAACTTGACATCCATATTGGCAGGCTTTGGATTTCTTGGTGACTGCTTTAACGCACAGGGTTACCACCAGGGCTCCCAGAGTCTTCACAAATGCATTGCTTAAAAAGAATGATTATTACTGGTGTTACACCACTGTCAACTAAATTGCAGGAATTCAAATAATGTGAGGTAACCTGTGACACCATGGCATCCTCTCGATAACCAGTGTAAGCTTTAGAAATACATATACTTCAGCCTGCTTCCCATGCTGTTTTTGTATTTCTTCCTCTGCCAACTGAGGCAAAGATAAACACCTCTTGGTTTTATGATATAAGTCTACCCACTGAACACTCCTCATCATACACTGATGTACATGGATTTCTCAAAAAAAAGAGACTGTGAACTGACAAGTAACAGGTCTTTGAAGTGCTGCATCTCTGCACATGGCCTGCTCACTCACAATTTTGCTTGAGCTTGGAGATAGGCACTTCTAAGAAGAACTAGGCAACAATCAATACAAATCCTGGTGAAGAATATATTCACAGTAAAGGCAGGAGTGCAGTCATCTATGAAAAGGAAAAAGCCTTACCTAAGATACTTGCTTTTATCATTTTTAGACAGAGTTGCTTTTTAAATTTTGTAATAGGTTAGTCTTTTTTCCACAAGAATTTGCATCTATTTAGAAGGCTATCAACTTCCTCTCCCTCATGCCTTAAGACAGAGCACAAACCTCTGGCTCTCTTATTATTGACTATGATGGGGGCAAAACCTTCTGCATGAAGTGAAAGCCAAATAAGAAAAGTTAAACTGCACTAAAATTTGAGAGAAGCATTTGCAGTCTTTTTTTGAACATATATATGTCTATGTACAAAAATAAATTCTGACAGTGTCCATTTAAAAAAGTTAAATATATACAAACTGTTAAAATAATTACACAAACTAACCATTTCAGCGGCTTTTAAATATCACCCATTCAATTTTCATAAGCAAATTGCAATGCTATTTAGCATTTCTCAATATATTCAACATATTTTTTGGAACAAACTCAATGCAACACACTTTACATTTCAGAACAATTACGTGCAGCACATACCTCAGATGCAAACAGTAAACCATTTGAGTTACATTCACTTTGTGATAAAAAGTGTACTGGCTGCTTAATGCAGCACCTTCACTATGGCAAGGTCATGTTAAAGTCTCAATCCCTCCCCTAACACAGATGATTAACAACCAAGTTACAACACTGTCACATAAAAATATCCTTTAGCATAAACAAATGCCTTAAGTTTGTCACAGTTCCCTTCTCTCAGCTTTCCAGAACAACAAACTCTCCAAATATTTTTATAAGCTGATCAGAAAAAAATAAACACATCCAGCAAAATCTCAGTCCACTTTGTACAGGGTAATGTAACACCTTAATTCACTAGTTCACAAACTGTCTAATTGCTAACTCGCAAGCCTACAAACAAAACAGTTCCCTAGCCAATGGTGAGAGTGCTCCTGCTTGCTCCCTTTCGCCTGGTGCAGTGGTTCCCTGCACCACACCAGGAAACATGAAAGCCTCAACAGTCTGTCTGCACCAAAAGCTTTTGTGATAAACTGATGTATCTGTGACTTACAGCTTGAAAGTTTGGTCTATAGAATTTCCACGTGTTTATGTACTCTAAAGAAAATGCCAAACGAGTACTTTGCAAAGATAAAGCTTCAAGTGGTGAGAGGTGCAGCAGATAACCATGCCCACAGGTGGCAATGGCTACAGAATTATCACTTTCTGCTCACGGACTCCTGCAGAGGTGTTGCTCCTGCTCTGACCTAATGGCACTGGTCCTACCACACACTAGATCTTAACAAGAGCTCTCTCAGGTCAAAACCTGAGCAGGAGATGATGAATAATCACAAGTCTAGTACTATATCAACAAGGTTTCAAGCATGAATGTAAAACCTCTCCTTTTAGTATTTATCCATCTGCCAGATTGTAACAAAAATAAAGCAAAATATTTCAATTTAAATAAATAAAACAATATATTTCAATAAAACAATATATTGCAATACCTGTAAAAACATGCTCTGAAAAAGTAGAAAGAAAAACTATAGCTTTGGCTAAAGCTACTAGTTTACAGAGTTTTTATAAAAATATGAATAAAATAGGAAAAAACAGGGAGAATTTTTGAGCTCACCTCTATCAATTGGCCATCTTTTTGCTAACACATACTGCTTCTGCTTGTTATTGATGCTTTCACAACCCATTTGGTTTTACAGCATGTGACAGATCACACAAAATTGACTGTCACTGAGAAGTGATTCTTGAATTTGCAACACGAAGTGCTATGCTTGCAATGGATCTCATAGCACACGTAGAGATCTTGTGACAGATTCCAGCTTGGGAAATGTAGTTGGAAGCTAAACAATACAGCCTTTCTGCTCCAAATATATTAAAGTGCCCAGGTAGTACCTTCTCCACAAGACCTCTATCTACTAACTCCATCAGGCGCTGGCAGCTTGCAATGTAGTCACTGATTCTGCTGTAGGGAAGCCAGTCGATCATAGATCCATCATACACCACATCTCCGCTGAACAAAATCTTCCGGTCCTTGTCATGTAAGCAAATACTGCCTCGTGAATGACCAGGCATGTGCATGACAGTGAGCTGTCGATCTCCGAGGTTGATCACGTCCCCTGCAAACAGATTTATTACAGGAAATTGTATGTATTTGCCACGTTTCCTAAATGACATAAAGAGAACTAGGTAGTTCTCTATGCATATACTCATATGCAGAGTTGATACATACTACCTATTGCAGCAGTGGGAGTGGGGCATTTATTTTCTTCGTGAGTGCCAAAGAGGTGTCTGAAATACAAGCTTAACAAAATGGTATTTTCCAGTGATACTAATGGTTAACACAGGCTTGGGTTGTATTAATGGAATATACTCACATTCTAATAAATTGCACAAGGTGAAAAGCAATGCAGTAGAGAAAATGAAATGGGAACAAATAGAATACAACTAAGCTGGGTCTTCAACAGTTTGCAAAGAACGTATTTCACAATTTATTATAATTTTACCTTTAGAATTCCTTTAGAATTGCACTGCTGTTACTCCTAAAGGCATAAGGCTAAAACATAAATTGCTGGAGGAGAACCAAGCAAGACAGGTACACACCTGTCTTGACACACTTTCTCCACTTCATTCATTAAGATATAAAAATAGAACTTTCTTACTATTAGGTCATTTTTTTGACAGCTTAAATGTGAATGCCTTTTAGTTGTACCAGCCACTGAACTGATACTTGTGTCTCATGTCTCAGTTAGCATCTTAGAAATTCTGATGCTACTCTGGCAGCCAGTGTACTTGCTCTTTGAAAAAAGTATTTTTTTTTAAAAATAATTCTCCCTACTTTTTGAGGAAAAAAAACAACTCAAACTTCTATTGATTTACTATAGTTAAATGTCACTATAGTTATTTAACTATTATTATAGTTAAATGTCATCCAATCTTTACTGAAGCTTCCAGTAAGTTCAGTTCTGCTTTTCCAGCAACTATGTGGGATGGCCTAATAAAGCCAAGAAAAGAGTAAGCACTGTGCCTAAGGTGTCACCTGTCTGACACCCACTCTTTAACATCTACTGAATAGTATTGCATAGTTTAGGTGTTTAGTTACCAAAAAACCTAGTCACTGTCTCCCATTAGAGACTAAATGATCTTATTTTATCTGCAACAAGCCACTTCTGTAAATGCTACATCAGTAACACGTGATTTTTTAAATTTTACATAAGTCAGGTAAGATTCAATAAATGTATTTATGTAAAATTCACGTAAATTCTGTAAAATAAAAACTATTCTCAGTAGATATTTCAGGAATTGTTCTGTTAACTGCACTTTCCATGTTTTGACAGCTTATAAACAATAAAGATCACCAGATGTCAGAACATGACCTGCTGACATACCATTTGAAACCTAAGGATAAACCTGGGGTACTCAATTAGTCACCTAAAACACTGCTGAGTGATTCTTATTCTATATGGAAAAAAACCCAGCCGCCAAAACCTTCAGAACTGGTAGAAACTATTTAACCCAGTACGAGTCTTTTTGGTCCCATGCTGACTGCGGGTGGCTTTTAGGTCCACAGGAGTGACAAAATTAATCAATTTGATTATTTTATAAGAGGACCTGGGTAAACCAAGAGGCGCTCAGCGGCAAAGAAGCTGCTCCGTAATACCCAGAGCACTGTGCCCCAGCACCCCTAGGCGCGGCGAGGCCGCCCCCTTACCCTCGTGCAGCAGGCGACTGGGCCGGACGGGCGGGACGCGGAACTGCCGTGCACTCCAGCCGGGCCGCGGCGGTCGCGCCACCTCCCGGTCTGACAGCCAGGTCACGGCCTCGTAATTGTCGCCTTGGAGCAGCGCCGACGCCTCGGCGCTGTGCACCGCCACCTCCTCGAAGTGCTGCAGCCCGCCCGAGTGGTCGAAGTGGACGTGGGTAGCCACGGCCAGCAGCGGCCGCGGCCCGGCGCCCTCGGCCGGCGCCAGCAGCCCGGCGTCACGCAGGTAGTCGGGCAGGCTGCGCAGTCCAAGCCCCGCGTCAATCACCACGTCTCGTTGCGAGCCCCGCACCAGCCAGATGTTGGCCCGGTTGCCCGACTCGTAGAATCGTTCCTGGATCCAAAAGATACCGCCACCCAGGGGCTTGTGCGCGAACCACTCCAACGCCGACATGGCCCGGCCGGCGCTGTGGGCCCGCAAGCCGCCCCCCCGCAGTGCCCCGGCGGCGGCACGGGCGGGGCCGAGCGGGGCGGGCACGGGCCCGGCCCACTGCGGCAGCGGCAGGCGGAGCGTCACGCGGCCGGGTGAGGTGTGGGGAGGTTCGGAGAGGCTGTGGGGGTTCAGCCGTGGCGCGGCACGGCGCGCGTTTGAGCCCCCTTCACCACTGAGACCCGCCGGCGGAGGGGGTAGTAAAGGTGAAGCGCTGCGGCCGTGAGGGGAGCGGCAGGACCCTCTAGGGGTGACGGGCCGTCAGCGAGGGGGGGGGAGCGGGAAAGGAGCGGAGAGCAGCTGAGAGGGCTATTCTCACACGGCAGAGGTTAGTGACCCTCAGGACAAATATCTTCTCCCCCTTACTGGCTTTAGTTAAAAAGACACCCACAAAATTTCAGTATTTAATGTTCGGTACTTTCTTTTGTTTATGTTCTTCCCTTTAACTGATGGCACCTGCCTCTCAAAATCAGAGAACACAACCACCAGAACACGATCAGGAATTTTGCTGTGAGGAAAGCGTAGGATACCGAGAGCTCGTCTGAGCGCTCAGTCTTCTCAGGTCTGCTGTTGTTGCACCAGCCGTCCGGCAGCTGTCGGGGATCCGGATTCCACGGGCCTTTCCCTTCTGAAACATAAGCTGCCTTCCCCTGAGTAACTGCCCGAGAAAGTGCATATGTAGGTTTGGAGGAATTTGAAAAGCCTAAATCTGAAAATCTTCTCTTTTATAGATGACACACAGACTACCCGAAAACAAGAAAATACACCCTTTAGATCCTTTAGAAATCCCCCAAGGCAAACAGAACGCTAGTTGGGGTAACTTTATCATCCTTAGTGGCTTAGTTGTGCAACTCTTCAGGATTTTTCCATCTGTCACTGTCACTTTGTGCTGTCAGTAAACATAAGCATTCTGAGGTTTTTAAAAAATCGTAGGTTTGGGTAAAAATGTGTAGTTGAAATGCTGCTAGTTTTAAAGTTTATTCTCATCAGACTAATGCAATGCCATTTTAAGCAAATTTACTAAGAATTAACTTTAAAGCAGCTTTTAAAAAATGGAACCTTCATATTCACTACATTTAATGCCTTTCCTTGTTAGCTTAGCATCTTGTTTAACTTGTGTTGTGTTGTTCTGCTGTTTACTTTTTTTTTTTTTGCATCTAGATAATTGCTCATGTTTGGGGCTTTACAGTGTCTTTTATCTTCTCTATTCTGCAAGGCTCACATCTTGCTTTTCATCCTATTTTCAGAGGACCTTCCCTTCCCTTCCCTTCCCTTCCCTTCCCTTCCCTTCCCTTCCCTTCCCTTCCCTTCCCTTCCCTTCCCTTCCCTTTTTTTTTCTTAAAAAAAATATTTATTTAGGTCTCTCTGCTTATTTATTCTGTGCTGCAGAGTGGCATGGAAATCTAGAATATGATTTTGTTTTATCCACATAGAGCTTATTTCTGTTGAAAGTAACAAGTAGGAAAAACACTGGCATCAACATGTTTTCTATGACCTTAAAAAAAAGGCGTTTGCTTCTGTCTGGGGGGAACCAGGTGCACTCGTACAGGTACAGCAGTAAGTCTGGAACAACCTGGTTGTACTGAGCAAGTACAGTGACCTTGCAGTTACTAGTGAACAGCTCATGGGATTTCTGGGCCTCGACCTTGCACCAATCTGAGTGGTTTGTGGGAATGAGCAGTATCACAGCGCTTCAGCTTCTCTTGGAGCCCATTTATTGACGTCTTCCCCCATTCTCACATTTTGATTTATTTATCAAGCATGGGTCGTGCAATTAATGGGATGAAGCTTGGTATAACATGAAAGTGGAGAGAAGTGACTGTAAGTGTTTTGGAGGCTCTTCTTCTTTTATGGCCTTTTAAAATATTTCAGTTAGAAACAATATCCTTTTTTTTCAGCAGTTAGCTTGCAGTCCTGCTGGAGTTTTTCATGACTTTTGATTATCTTAATTACCTCTTTGCCTGTGTCACTTTTTCAAGATCCAAAAATAGTTACTAAGATAAAGGACAAAAAATAGTCATGATGAAGAAGTCATGAATGACAAACACAAACTGCCTTTTGGAGAAAAGTTCAAAAAAAACACTAGAGTGCAGTCACAGAAAGTTCAGGGTTCTTAAACTTTTTTTTCACCTGTTTCTGGTTCTTCTGGTTGAACTCAATACAGTGCATCTAGGGTTTTGAAGAAGATGGCTTAAAATTCCTACGTTAGGAGGCAATTTCAGGCATGCAGAGGTAGCTAGCAGAAATAAGTGAATGAAGCTGATTTTATGCTTGTATCAAATTTACAGTCTGTGGAAGAATCCAAGATGGGCATTGAAAATGGCTTGCTATTTAAAAATGATTTCTGGTTTTAAAATGCCTGTAGTCTTTGTTAGATACTAACTTTCTTGGTAATATGTACATCAATTTGAAACACATAAGGAAAATATATCTTTAAAAATCTATAATATTTTCAGTACATCCAAATGGCTGGGTCAGGTAGAGGAAGGGGACATGCTTCATCTGCCTTCAACATGGAGGTTATTGGCTTTGGTAAAGATGCAGCTCTACGTGATGTCATCTGTAAACCTCACCATAATTTCCAGTAAGTACAGCCAGTATCTTGGAGCACAGTCTGTGTTCAAGTAAACTGTGTTCACACTCATGTTTAGAGAACATAGAGAACTTAATGAAATATATGAACATCCCTAAGAATTTTGGATTTTATAATAATGTAAATCACCATTTTTCTTAATTCATCATCAAAGGGGCTTTCCTTCCCCTTTGCTAACTGTTGTATCACATCTTTAACAGGATTGCTTGCAAGGAGTTAGTGCATTGAAGTCCTCATCATGATTTGGTTTTCTGGACATTACAAGAATAGATACACTGGATACTTGAATTTTCTGAAATGAGTTTATATTAATCTTTGAAGCTATAAATAGATTTGCTGATTTTAGAAAATTACTATTTATGCAAACATGAAAGATTGTGTATGATTGTCCTGTACTGCAGAAGCCAGCATTAGAAAATAACTGAAAGATTCTTTGTGTAATTAAGGAAGCATAATTGAGACTTGGCATTTAGGATGTATTTGAAAATCAAAGGGAATAAAGACCATCTTCTGACCACATTTTGATGTGCAGGGAAGCTTTTGACTTACTGAACCATATATTATTCATCCTCTTAATCCAGCATTACAATTAAGATGTGTGATTTCATATTACTAAGTCATCTGTAACTGTTTTTCATGTGAATGTTGCAGTTTGCTTGGTAGCACAGTTCTGTGCCATCTGAATTCTGTATACACTGCATCTTTTGAGGTACAGTCAGCCTTACAGGAGAATTACTAGCCCCAGTATATTTAATTTATACCCTGGAGAAGGTAAAAGGCTTTCTTCCTTCTGTGAACAAATTTCAGAACCAAGTTAAACTTCTCAGGGCAAATCTGGTGCCATTCAGGAAAATCAGAGTTAACCTAGCTGTATAAGTAGAATCAATAAAAAATTCAAGTGTTGATTTAATGACTGGGCAATGACCAAAAGTATGTTACAGCTTTGACTAACTTACAGTGAAATTATTTGAAGCAGAGAGTTATTGCTGCTGCATATTCCTATTAGACACTTTCTGAGTTCACACAAAGTTTCTGTAAATGCAATTAGAAACACAATTAAGGAACATCAGCAACATTAAGTGATTTAAAGTGTTGGCCAACTAGCAAATATAGATGGAAGCAATAAGCTCCTTTCATGGTCCAGATCTGGGACTTGTGATACACTTCATGCTTTGCAACCTACCACTCAGTTATTGATTTAGCACCATTTATCACATGAGAGAAACAACATTCATTCTGTAATTCTGCTTGTAGTATTCTGGATATTTTTAAAACTGTTTTTGCATATTTATCTTTCTCACTTTCAAGATTCAAGTTAAACAAAAACAAAACACCCCAAAAACAAACCCCCACAAAAAACCTCCCTCAAACCCCAAAAATCCAACTCTTAACATTTCATTTAAATTCAGCTGGTAGAAACTGTGTGAGGGCCTGGTTTTAGACAACACAACCTCATGATAATAGTCATAAGAAGAGTGTCCATGTTATTCAGATTGCATACTTAATGTAGCTGTAACACTGTCACTGAAGTGGTTAAGAACAACACTACTCTGACTGAAGAGAGAAGGAATGGTTTCTGAGAAAGTTCAGTTGGTGAGAATAATTGCTTTTGGCAATTAAGAGTTTAGGATTACTATGAATGACTGTGTATCAGTTTTAATTATTTTTTTCCCTGATTTTGTCCAAAATGCCACATCTGAGGGGTGGGTTATAATTACATATACATTACACTTATAAAAGACATCATAAATTGATGGTCTTCAATTTAAAAAGCTTGTTTTTATCTCCGTTGCAATGTGCAGTTGTCTCTGGGACTGCATTCTGTGGCAAAAGTGGTCTAGCTTTAAGAAAACTCTGGAGTAGATTATTTTTAACTGATATTTTCTGTTACCTGGTTGACAAAACATCTTGTAAAACTAAGAGGGTGTCACAAAGTAGGCTGTAAGCAGGAACTTCATAAATTGTCTTTGCTACAAGAGTGAATGGATTGTTATAAAACCTCAGAGCAGTATCTGCAAGCCAAATGGTCTTTTGAAGTGTGAGAAGTGAAACGTTTTAATTAGTTAGGATGTATCTGTCTATCTTTCATTATTCAGGTAGCAAATGAAAGCCCTGTCTCCTTCTACCTGGAAATTTTGACGTGAAATGTGCCATATAGCATAGATTTCCATCATTCAACACTCATTTTGAGAGAATAGCAGGCATATTCTATAGAAATTTCTTTATTTACCCCACTATGTAAGTTACGAATCACTCATATTTTCCTCTAGGTGTATCTGCCAAGACTGGGTGACTGCCACTTTGGCATTGGTTTGGAATTAGTTCCTTGGTTGTGAGTGGCAAGAGTCAGTCAATGTATTTTTTTACTGATGGCATCAGCAATTTTTTCTTCACTAAAGAGCCTTGAACTGAAATCAAAACTATTTGTTTCTTTTCCTCTCTTTGCTGATAGTTTCCTATATCTATGAATGCCCCTTGAGACACTGTTATTTTAATTGTAGACTCTTTCATGCACAATTTTGGGAAGGTTTTCTGTTTGTCTTCATAATAACTAAGTTTAAGATTTAACTTCATCTATGATGTCTTCTTTTTCCTTGGTGAATATGCACCTGAAGGATGGAATGCCATACAGAGAGACCTTGACAGACAGGAGAAGTGGGTGCATGGGAATCTCATGTAGTTTAATAGTGAGTGCAAGTGCTGCACCTGGGTTGGGCCATTGCCAGCACATTGAGGGAGGGATTGTTCTCCTCTTCCGTGTTTTGGTGGGACCCCATCTGCGGTTCTGCATAAGCTCTGGGGTCCTAGAACAGGAAGGACATGGACCTGTTGGAACAAGTCCAGAAGAGGCCACTCAGTTGATCAGAGGGAAGGAGAACTTCTCCTATGAGGAGAGGCTGAGAGAATTGAGATTATTCAGCTTGGTAAAGAGAAGTCTTCAGGCTGACCTAACTGCAGCCTTTCAGTATCTGAAGGGAATTTACAGAAAAGATGGGGCAATAGCATGTAGTGACAGGACAAGGGGGAATGGGTTCAAATTGAAAGAGAATAGGTTTAGATTAGACATTAAGAAGAAATTCTTTACTTTGAGGGTGTTGAGGCACTGACACAGGTTGCTCAGGGAAATTGTGGATGCCCCATTTCTGGAGGTGTTCAATGCCAGGCTGGATGGGGCTTTGAGTAACCTGATCTAGTGGAAGGTGTCCCTGCCCATGGCAGTGGGGTTAGAACAAGATGATGTTCAAGGTCCCTTCCAACTCAAACTCTTCTGTGATTCTATGAGTTTGTGATTATGTGCTAGAAGTCTTTCATGCTAAAGGTCAAAGGCTATCTTTGTAACTATTTTTTGTAAAATATCTGCAAATATTATCCCTACTTGGGTTAACAGTGCAATCAGATTCAGTAATTTTGCACTAAGTGGATTTTGCATGTGGTAATTTGTCAAGAAAAAATGTGACTGATTTAAAAATACTAAAGTTTTGCTATTGCTTTTGGCATTAGAGATTGTATGTAAAAGGTTATTATCCATGTATAAATGGATGTACTTGCACTGTATGACTACTATGAATTTCTCAATTTACTTCTTGTGCCTGGAAGAGGGTTAAATGTATTAAAAGTGTTTAGCTGCTGTTTTGGATAGGATGCAAAGCTCTTCCATTGCAGAAGTACTAGAAGTCTTGGAAGCTGGTGATCAGATACAACCTTTTGAGACTTAGGAATACTGGATACTATTTATGAATAACACAGTGATGTTAAATGTTGCTCACTGGTTTTTGTAATAAAGATTTGATTGTGAAACTCTTGAAGAGTAGAGAATTACTGTTACATTTGATGTTTCAACTTAGTCTCTAAATAAATCTGCATTTAACAATTCCATGTTTTCAAGGATAAAAGAATAAATTATAGTATTTTTGGAGTGTTGGGTGTTTTTTGTTTGTTTTGGAGTGAGGTTTTTGTTCAGTTTTTTTACTGTTTGACAACAAGAAACTGTTCAACATGGGATTAGAAAAATATACTCTATGTTCAGTTACAGGTAAATATCAAGGACTGTCTGGATTGCCTTGACTGTGAACTGAGTAACACTTTCTCTATAGTAATTGAGAGGTAGTCAGGAGTACCAGGACAATGCAAAGGAGCAGGAAATGTGGACACCAGGAAATGGCTGAGGTTATCAAAGGCTAATTTTCTATGAGCCTGTGAAATGTTCTGATCTTTTAAGTATTTGATTCACTATTTTTCAAACAATAGAAAGGTAAGAAATTATTACCAAGTCATATATTCCTTCCAGTCCTGTATTTTGAGAGTTATTGTACTTGGCATGATTTCAGATCAAGGTGAGTATTCTTTTGTCATTAAAAAAAAAAAAAGGGAAAGAATCTGCTTTTATTTATTTACCCTGTTGTAACAACTGATTAGCAGCGCAAATGCAAACTTAGGCTATCACTCTTGTACTCCTTTTTCCTTACTCACTTCATAAGAGTTTTGAACAGGGAGCAAACACTGATGTTACTAAAAACAACCCAGCCTTATGTCTGTCATGGGAAGCTATGTTTTATAATATCAGCCTTCCCAAACCATATCTTTATAGCTCACTACTGCAAGCTTAATTACATAATAAGTAAGTTGAAGAGCCTGTGGGCCACTGGAATGGCTGAACTTTGTCTCCTTGGGATAGAAGCCAGTTGTCCTTATGTGGGTAAAATGGCAATCCTGACTCCCGTTTCTCAATTTAAATTACAGCTAGAATTCCCTAAAACTGTTGTACTAAAACATTTTGGCATGTATGTAAATAGGATTGAGGACCCTTCCTTTCCCTGGTGGCAGGGGAAGGATTACTGCTGTAAATCATAATTTTTCTATATTAAAGCTATTTTCTGTACAGATAGGAGAAGACTCCTATGAGAGATGAAACCAAAGAAGGCAAACAAAAAAGGTATGTTATATATTTTAGGAAACAAATATTACATAGTAGTTGAGAAACAGAAGCTGTAACGGAGATACTTAGAGGAAAAAATGCTAGAAATGTTAATTAGTCTAAATCATTAAGGCTTTTGGCAGATTTTTTCCATAAATATTTTATTAGTCTGCCTTTTGTGGTTTTTGCTTTGCTTCTGTAGCATGTTTTAACTTACTGGAAAAGACTTTCCTTCCTTTCTTCTGCCTTTTATGTTGATGCACCATATTAACATACAAGATATGTAACAGTGAAAAATTTTTAAAAAATCCACAAATCTTTTTTGTTTTGAAAACTTGTATCTTTTGTCAGCATTCATCCCATTCAATAGTAACTGGCTGTTCAGGTTTCCTTTATATTTTGGTTTCTCAATTATCTTGTTAATGATTTGGTTGATTTTTGAATATTTTAGGCCTTTTATATGTAACTTAATGTGGGTTATTTTCTATTTTCCCTGATTTTACTTTATTTTCAGCTTTTGTCTGCAGAATCGTGAATCACATCCTTGAAAAGCAGTTGGAACTAGTAGTGGTAGTTCTTATAGAAAAACAGATCTTTATTACACAGCATAATTTGTTTTTCAAAGTGTTTTCTAGTATGACTTATGACTTATTTTAAGTTCTTTGTAGAAATTTGTGGCCTCCTTTAGCTGTCTGTTTATATATAATTGTTTGCTTTCTTCCAAGTCTTTAATGTGTCATTTTTCAGTTCACAGATAAAACAGAAAAAGGAATGGGAATGTCCATAGTCACAGAGACTGGCTCAGCTGGAATCTTTGTTCCCTTTTAGAGCATCATTGAGAAGCATGATACGGAAGGTAGACTGTAACATTCAACTGAAAATGAAATACTTATTTGCAAAATCTCCAAAGATGGGACCAGAATATACCTGGGTTTTATTCCAAAAGAAGAAACCATGGGCTTTTATAAGCCTATGCACAATAGTTTTCGCCCTGAGATCATAAAAAGAGAATGACTGCTCAGTGGGGGAATTTTTCTTTCTTTAGTTCCGATTTCTTTACTGGCTCTTAAAAGTACATTCCTCTACATGTTATAATGGCAAAGATCAGCTGACCATCAGAATTTGATTGGATTAAAAACCAGGTTCCCCTAAAAGCAAAAACAATGTGGGGCTAAGGGTTTTTTTGTGGACTCCTGATGATACATTTAGTTGTTGTTTTGTTGTTTTTTTTGTGGAATCCTGATGATAGTTCTATATTAGTCAGGAGGTTTGCACATAGCTGATCAATGACCCATTAGAGCTCCTGGTACTTGTCTTTTTTGACACATTAACCATGGTGACACTTAGGTGACACTTTAACCATGGTGGAACAAAGGTGAACAAATGAACAGAATTTGTACAGAAATTCAAACCAAGTTCCTACCATTCTCCCTTTTTAGCTTGCAGGAGTGGTTTTGGGATCAATACAGTTCGATGCACAGAGGCAGCTTTACTTTTACACACCTCCCCTCCTTTTTTTTGGTTTCCCCTGGATGTTTTAACTGCCTTCTCAGTGACAAAACTTAGGGTAGAATTCCACACTGACCCTGGGCTGTGAAATGCAAAATCCTAGATACCAGCAGTGCCTGCTGAAAAGAAAAAATACATAAATAAGATAAATAAAAGTGTCATCTGGGTTCAGTAGGCCAGCCATATGCATAGGGATATAGCATCAAATGTATGCATTTTAGCCCAAGTACTGGAAGACCAGGAATTAGACTGTATTCTATTGCACCTCTAAGGTAGGGAGCTATTTTGCTCCCATAGTTCTAACAATGAGTCAGCGTTGTCACTGACATATTTTATGAAAATCTTTTTGCTAGGATTTTTTTCCTGAGAAGCTGAGAGGTCTCAGAAACAAAATGTAAACAATAATTATCTGATGGCTGTGGAATGTGGTCAGGCGATGGTTCATCAATGGGTGCATCTTTGATTGGTCTCATGTGGTTGTTTTTACTTGATGACCAATGACAGCCAGCTGTGTCGAGGTTGTGAGCAGTCACAAGATTTTATTATTCATTCCTTTTTTTGCTAGCCATCTGATGTCTTCTCTTTCTTTAGTATAGTTTTAATATATCATTTTCTTTTAATATAATATATACCGTAAAATAATAAATCAGCCTTCTGAAACATGGAGTCAAGATTCTCATCTCTTCCCTGGGGTTGCCTGCAAATTATACACCGTGTTTCTAATTTATAAGGGCCAAAGATGCCCAGCTCTTAGAGACAAATCTCATGTCTGTTTGTTCTATATGTATTATCTGTAAAAGCCTGCAGGAGGTTGTGCAGGGATGATAATTCTGAATTGCACTTTCTGCTTGTTTTCCTAAAAAGCCTGCTTCATTCTGGATGTGTTTGTTTGATGCTGTTCATGTTTTTGCAGAGCAGCTTGACTCCCCTGAGCTCTGTGCAGCACTTTAGTCATATAATCCTTTCCTAGGCAAAACACTGGAATAAACTCAATGTTATTTATGACAAATGCTTTTGATAAAATATAAGTGTTTTCTCAGCAGTTCCCAGTGTTCTCCATCCTTGAGCATTTGGGGAACTTTGGTTTAGGGTGCTGCCATTCAAGTAACTCTTACCTGGGTATATAGTTTGCTATTTTTGATCTTTGCTCCACCATACAGTTAATCAGGGAGAAACTTGATAAAGATTATGCTCATGAATCAGGGGACTATGCAGAAATACACAACATAGATTCATTAGAGGAGAGCCAACTGTAGTCAAAAAGCCATGTAGCTGTAGTAATAATGCCTTCTGTTGGAGCTAATGAACTTCTGCCTTTTTTTAACATCTACTTGTCTGAAGTACCCATCATTAATGTTTTGTATAAATCAGTAAAAATGAGTTTTTATTTTTTCAAGATGATTAAACATAACAAGTGAGATTCTGTTCTAGTTTCTTAGCATTTTTTAAGTATAGAGGTGACTAGTATTTTGTGAAGCTGAATGTTGTATTTTAGCCCAGCCTTTGGTCAACTACTTGTTCAAACTGAATTTCAGCCAGGCATTTCTTATGTAAATCAGCCATTTGCATCTCTCTGAATGATGTAGCTCAAAGTCTCAGGTAATTTTAATACAGATAGTATGGGATTTCTGTGGCATACTCAGGATGTATTTACTCTTAAGAACAAGTAAAAGAAGATAATTTGTCTTTTTCACATTAACAAAAAAAATAACAGTAATGTATTTTATTTCACCAGGTGCAAAAACAAAAAAGGCAAAAAACTCTGAGCCTAAAAGTAATCTGGATGTCATTGAAAAAAAATTAAGTAAGATGTGCATACTCTTTCTAAATTTTACAATAGACATTGAAGGAAAATGAAACCTAATATGTTTATTAGTACAAATGGAATAACAAACACACACTTTTTCTGGTCTTGTCTTGCTACTCTGACAGACAACTGTTCTGCAGCATGGTGGCACAAGGGTTAGGGTACAAGTCTGGCTGTGGAGAAACCACTTTCTTTGCTTTTGTTTGTACCTGAATACAACAACCAACTGCTCTTCACTGGGTAGCAACACAGTCTAATGTAAATAGTAGAGTTGCTATTGGAGCTTACAGAAGGAGAAACTAGTGCCAGTGTTTTTAAATCTGTTGCTATTTCACCCATCTACTGATGTTGGAACTTGAAAGAATTTACTAAGTTGAGAAAAAACACAAAAACTTAGGACATGACCGCTGTTTTGTTGGCAATTACTTAACCATGTGTCAGTGGGAACTTTTAAGGTGAAACAGCTTTATATTTTTTCTCCTGGTGATCCACCAGTTGTTTAAAGTAGTTATATTATTACATATGGTATGAGGTATTGCTTTATCAAGTATGAAATGGTCTTCTGTCAACTGTTCTAACAGTGGATAATAAAGGGGAATTGTCATCTCAGTTTATTACACAGGACATGGTTTTTTATGGCTGATGCTTGACCAAGTAAATCCTTATTAAGTTCTTGTGCTTCACATCATATTGTAAATATTGACACGCAAGATTTGCACAGCATTGTTATGCTAACTGTCTTGCTGTTAAGTGCATCTCAACTCTTTGGTAGTGTGGAGGATATGCTGTTGCTGTAAAATGGGATTACCTTGTTAAGAGATTGCCTTGTGACAGGTGCTAGAAAAGAAGGATGAGGAAAAAGAAAAACCTGAAGATGAGAAAGACAAAAGACAAAGAAGGTGAAGATGATGAAGAAGCAGAAGAACCAGAGGAATATGATGAAGAAGAGCATGAAGAGGTGTAATGTTAGTTTTCCTATTTATACAGAGTCAGATCCCAGTCATTGATAGTGTGTTGACTGGCAAAGAAATGTTCCAAGCTTCCAATAAGGCAGAGTTGTTTTGGGAGAAATTATTACATTAATTGTCTTTGTTGCACTACATTGTATTATAAATTTAAGCGACTGTTCTAGACTTATTACTCACAAAGAGCTCTGATAAAAAGATCTTGTACATAAGAATGTGTTTACACAATCAATACACACAATTACTCCTTTTTATCATGAAAACGGTGATGCCTGTTGTTTCATATATATCAGGACTTCATTACAGTATTTTCCTTTTTCTTTCCCAATAATCTATTACTGTTTTAAAGTGTGGGTGCTCAAGTGCAGTTTAAATAATTTTTCTTCTATAAATTGTCTTCTCTACACATACAGTGATTTTTTCCCCATTGGTTTAGGAAAATGACTACATTTCTTCCCATTTTGAAGATGGAGATGGCTTTGGTGTTGCCAGTGATGACAATATGGTTGAAGCAACATAGTAGCTGTTGTTTCTAAGTATTAAACTGCTCAAGCCTTATACTACCTGAAGCAGTATATTATGGAGATAGGCTGAGTATAAATAGACTTAATGCTTTAGCTCTTTTGGTTTTAAGCAGACTCTCCAAAAACACACTGGAGTTTAATTGTACTGAATAATTGTACAGAATACTTTTATTCTGTAAAAGAGACTAGGGAATCCTATGTTTTGTTCTTTTGCTGAGTGCTTTGCAGACATGCCTTTTTATGGTCCTCTGGAATGCCTATGGATAGAATAGGGTATGCCATTGTGTTTCCTCTGCACAGAAAAAAAGTATGCATTTTACTTGAAATTGTCTAAGCATTTGCACTAGTCAATTCTATGCCTCAACAGTAAAATGGTAAAACATATAATGAAATTCTTGATGACCACTACAGAAAAAAAGACACAGAGCCTTTACGGACATAAGCTGCTTGTTGGTAGCTGACTCCTTTGAATAACTTTTAAGTAACTTCTGAGTTCAGGTAACTGAAAATAACTGACAGCTATACATTTCAACATAAACTGACTTGGAAGAACCAATGCATGATGTCCTAATTAAAAAAATAAGAAAATGCCAAGAAAAAGCAAAAGCTTAATGTTTGGAACCATCCTTTTTATTTGAAAACCAACAGCTGTAGTGTTGAAAACTTATTACTGAGATTAGACGCTTGAAGAATGCTGTGACAGCACATTCTCTATATCTTACTGTCTTTTGATAGTAAAAAATAATATTTTTTATTGTTACTATATTACTGTTGATCAGGGGTTTTGGGCTTTTTATGTTGCTTGGTTTTGCAGTGTTATTTTCTTTTAAAGAAAGTGTTTCACCTTACTGATGACTGGGAAACAATTCTGCATTATTCTGTGAACTTCTGATATACAAAACACAGAAGATGTGAATGAGGCAAGGATGCTGAAAATTAGATTTGCCTGCTGTGACTATAACTGCTTCTGGTAGCTGTTCTCCCTGTGCAAGGTGAATGGTGAGACTCCTTACCCCCTACAAAACAATGCAAATAGATGGAACTGTAAAATTAATGCTAGAAAAGTTACTGCACGAGTAACAATTTGTTGACAAGTTGTGGCTTGCCTGAACAAGTACAGCATCTCATTCTGTAGCAGACAGTAATTCTTGAGGACCGATACTTTCTCCATTCATCATTCTTCTAATGGGCAAGTGCCTTCCTACTGCACTGTTGAGAAATATTACTCTGGTAAAAATCAGGTCTTTTTGAGTCCTTTAAGAGGTGAACTGTAGTCACCTCTGTCATCCAGAGGGAGTTGCAAAGTCTTAGGCTGGACCCTCCAGGATTAGTTTAGCTATGGTAAATAAGGCCATTGATTAGGAACAAGGACACAGATCAGTGCCAGGGCACTTCTGAAAAGCAGTTAGATTGTGCTCTTCCAGAGGTGTAATACTCGCACCTCTGCTTAGCAGCTGATTTTCTGATTGCTTAGTGTTCTGCAAGGACACAGATCAGTGCCAGGGCACTTCTGAAAAGCAGTTAGATTGTGCTCTTCCAGAGGTGTAATACTCGCACCTCTGCTTAGCAGCTGATTTTCTGATTGCTTAGAATTTATTGCAAGACCATAATGCAATAAAACTTATGACTGTTCTTTAGTCTGCAGCAAACTTCAAATTTGGACATGCATATATTCAAATCCTAATTTATAGCACAGAAGAGTACTGCTTTCAGTGTCATCTCACCGTCAAAGAACTTCACTGATCCCTCCCTTACTTGTTCATACCTATTTCTAAGAACTAAAATGTTCTCCAAAATTTATGCAGAGAAGTTCAAAGTTTACAAGGCATGAACAAAATAAACCATAAAGGCTGCAGTTATGGTATGCTAGATAAAAATATTGCCAACAAAGTACTTGCTGGCTAAGGATTTTTATTGTAGATCATACATAAAAATTGGCCTAAACAAATAAAAGTAGTAACCTGCTGTAACAAAAAATGCAAAATACATAGAATTAAAAATATATTAGATGCACCATTTTCACTGCAATCTAAAATAAAATCTTTATTTTACATATATTACTTACATTTTTCTAAAAGCAGAGGAGCAGAAGTATTTAAAATAAGACTTGCATCCTCACTCAGAAGTATTTCACAAAGTTGTATTTTCAGCCCTTATACAAGTTACAAAGACTATTTGTGAGAACTTATTCTGAAGTATACCAGACTTAAAACATTTAGATTTTTTATGATCCAGCAGTGCAATATGCACTTAAGTTTAAAACTGAACTGTTGCAATTATTCCAAAAGGTGATTTACAACTCAATTATTCCATGTTTGTGGGGGTTTTGTCTCTTTTTTGTTTGCTTTTGGGGTTTCTTTTGTTTATTTATCTTTGGTTTTGTTTGTTTCTTTAGGAAATCAGTTTCTAGAAGACTACCTTCAGAGATTTTATCTTGAATACGATTTAAGTTCCTCACAGAGCAGTTACCCGGTTTATTCCAGGCTGTGATGATGAATTACCAGCTGTGTTGTACTTTGGAAAAAAGCTGTAAATATCCCCACATTTTGCAGCAAGGCAGGCCAGCTGATGGTTGTAGATTACCAGGATCAGGAGTCCTACAGTCTTGAAAAGAGTTCTACTGTATCTTCTGATAATGTTAACTCTAATTAAATGTGCTGTATGAAATATATTACATAATACATATGTAAAAACATATCAGGCTCTTGGTATGGAATATGGTCCCATAAAATAGCTACTCCTTTGTGTTTTTCTGAAGACTGCTTATTTTAAGGTAAAGGAAGGCATATCACCCTTAACTCAGTGCCAGTAAGCCACAGGTCTTTGACACTGTAAAAGCCCAAAGTCTGGGACACACTAGAGGACTCTTCAGCTGTACCACCACAGACCTCTGTATTCATACATCAACAGGTCAGAGACCTTCCTGACCTAGTTGAGCCACAACCACAGTTAAGTTCATTTCTGTACCAACAGCAATTTAGTAACTATCAGTCCAAGTATGTGCTATATATTAGGCTTATGCTGCATCATCACAATAGCTAATTTAATGTTCTTTGATGAATCCATAAGAAATGGAAGGAGATAAAGTATTAGAACTGGTGAGTTTCAGCAACAGGATGGGAGAAACAGCAAAACAATAAAATTATGCAGCAAAAAAATTATGCATTATATACCAAATTTCATCCTATATAGAAAACATTTGTTTTTATGTGCCAAAACTTTCTTGTCGGAGTGAGTCACCTTTTAAAGTTTTAACCATGAGAGCTGTATCACTTTAGCCACCATAAATTATTTTGTGAAGCATTTTTGCATATAGAACTGCTACCTCAGTGTTTATGTTTGTCTTACTGGCATATTCGCTTAAAGAAAATAACTACTATTTGAAAGGATCTTTGAAAACAAGTGTAATGCAAATCATCAAGTTCATGCTGTTTGTAATCTCTTTTCCAGTGTGGAGACTATGAGTAGGCTCACTATCTCCACAGATGCTCCTTTAATCAAAAAGTTCAACAGTAACATAGTTCAGGCACCTAACTTTACATCATTTTCCTTCAAGCTTTGGCCTGCCTCAATTTCAATATAATACAAGTTAGGCAATTCTTGTTCATACACTTGGCATGCCAGTGAAGACTCTCTGCTCCACTTCTTGGGGAAACAGGTGCTCCAAGAATAAATGGGGCCTAGGTCTTCACTCTCAGAATCTCACAAAAGCATTTTGGAATACCTCAATAGTTAGAACACGTTCTCTTTACCTTTTTGTACTGCATATGAGTCAAGACACTCATTGAAAAAATTACAATAATAGTTTAAAGTTTAAGTTTAAAGTTTAAAAAACAGCAGTCTGTTTTTCCACTTCTCTCTTTTTAAGTCCTAATCAAGTTTGTTATACTGGGTTTTGGTAATAAATGCTGTTTTGAACAGGGCAATGGAATTCTTACTCCACAGGCAAATATAACCAAAATACTTATAGGCACCATCTCAGTTTTTATTTAAAAGTATTCTGAGTACACAAGTACCTCCTTTCTGTAAAAAGAGTCCAGAGGTGTGGGGCTTTATTTATGTTTTTTTATGGGTTTTTGTTTGTTTTTTATCCTGAAGCCTTTTTAGATGGGGAAGAAAAAGAGGAGAAAAACCAAGGTTGATCATGAAACTCCAAGAGAAACATTCATAAAAACACCAAGATGTAAAGTACAGGTCTGTAGTACAAGTTGTCTATTCTGCTCAAATTTGCTAGCAGACATTAAATAGCATTTGAAGTCCTCTAGGACATTTCAGGAAAAAGTTAAGAGCTTGAGGTTCATGGGCACAAGACCAGTATTAGTATGCTCAGTACCCACATGACTGCTATCTGAAGAATCAGTTGGTCCTGAACTGAGATTAACAGGAAGGGGAAAAAAATAAATCTATTAGCAGAAAATAAGGACTACTGGGGCAGTTACAGGAACGTGCCACACTTCAGCACTTTTTTCATTCTACACACAGGTGATCAGATGAGAATGCAGTTCAGTCAGTTTTCAGCAGGATACCAAGGAACAATGTGAAGTTTCAAGAGGACTACTAAGTGGACTGTGGTGAGGCACAGAATGACAGAGAAAACAAATTACCCTAGTGCATATACTGAAAAGTACCAAGGAATGGGTTGACTATAGGCACAAGATTTCAAGTTTAAGTGCTACTGCCTCTGTAAAAAAGAACTTCATGCTGGCTATTAATTATGGAATGACTGAGTTTTAAAAGAAATCTTACTCTATAAGAAAGATAAATTATGAGAACACCACTTAAACTTAGAACTGTAAACCTGATATTAAAATGTCAAGTGTACTATGAATTCTGTAAATCCTTTCAGATGTTTAAAAGTTAGCTATCCCCATATGCCCACTTCTGGGCTGTAAAACACGGAACTCCTTGTGTGTTAGTTCGAGCTATATTTTTTCATCTCATCATTAATTAAGAAACATGCCTATCAAAATAGAAAAAGGTGCAAAGCTTCAGAGATGACTTCATACCTTAATATACACCCCAGTCTTGTAAATTGCCTATCTCAGGCATATTCAGAGATTATGTGATCCCCAGAAATATCCTTGTAGTGGAATACTGCCCATAAAGGCAAGTCACACATCAGTACACTTCTCTACATTCCAAGTGCATTTTGCATCCTGTGGATTCCCCTTTACCTATGTTATGTATCTACAAACAACAGCTGTCTAGGGTCTTCCACTATTAATGCTGAAGGTCTCCTTGATTATCAACTTTCATCATATTTGTTGGATTTATTCCATTTTCTGTTTCTTTCTGATGTGATACTGCTGTGACAAACAAATGAGAAGATTCCATTGGGAAATGGTGACTGACATCTGCTTTCACTAGAACTTCATAATACAGGAGATAAAAAACTGGAGTTACTATGCCAATAATCAACATAATCACTACTGCTGTCCACCATCCTATACCCCAGTCTGCCCCATAGTAAGGATCCTTGCATTTTTTAGTTTTACCATCAGTTTCAAAACAGATCTGTTGGGCTGCTAAAGCAGAAACAACTTCATTCAGATTCTCTCTCTTTGTATCATTACACTTCACTATTTCTTCTATATCTCGATCGACTTCTTTTAAGAAGTTGCCAGCAGTCTCATTAGCAGAGAATTTATCACAAAGAGATGTTTCCTGTACTTCTGGGGAATACAGAGCAGGCCGAAGAGCTGGTCTTCCTTTTGGAGATATATGGGTTTCAGTCAATACACTGAACTTTTTCACTGGAATTCTGATAGATCTCAGGGCAAAAAAATCTTGATCGTTGATAAGATTGTTAACTCTCTTGATATCTGCAACCTAAAAATGAAAACAACAGCTAAAACATCGTATTGCATTGAACCAAAACTCCCTTAACAGTACTACACCTTTAAGAAATACAAGTATTTTGTAAGGAAACAAAGATAAGGCCTTTGTTTTTGCCCTACCCAAGTCAGCTCTCCTTTTCCATATTCTTGTTCAAAATATCATTTTTCTCAAATTAAGTTCAGATTTTAAGCTGAAGTCTAGGGCAAGGCCTTTGGTTTTTATTATCATTAAATTTGTGGGTTTTTTTAATTGATACCCATTCATACAGTATGAGTACTGTATTTTTGATACCCATTCATACAGTCAGAAGAGGTCAAAGACCAAATCTGAACAACTTTACAGCAAGAAGGAAATTAATTATGATGCAAAACCCCTCCCACTTCAGGTAAGAAGACTGGAAGTCACTTCACATAGATACATTAACTTATATGTATGTTCAGCTATCAGTTGGCAATTATCTCTGTGAAATTAATGAGAAATCACCTCACTTTAAGTTTTCAAATTATGTAAATTACTGTTAATTTCTAATTCAGTGAGAAACTTCTGAGTTAGGAGTTACTACAAAGTATGAGTTTGCAATTCATCTAGCCACAGGTGTGTTTTTTTGCTGCTTCTGGGGGCTAAGGCAGAAAACAAGTATAACTTTTAAACTACTGTAATCTACTTTACCTAAGTCAGCTCTCCCCTTTTCCTATTCTTGTTCAAAATTAATCTCACTTTGCCTGCAGTAAGTTCAGATTTTAAGTCTAATGTGAAACATTCTGCAGGGATTTAAGTGCACTGGCATAATCACTGGCTTCACTTTCAGATGGTAACTCCCTCACTGTAGCAGGCACAGCCACAAACTTCACCATAATGAAGTACTTCCAAATCAGTGCTTTTCTGCAACACCTGCAAAGCACACAGGAATTACGGTCACTTGAAGATGCACTGTATCCAAGTTCATGTAAACCTTTTTAATGTGTAGAAATCCTTCAGCTGCTATGGTGGTGTATTTGTTAAGTGTATGATGTTCAATAAATTGGGTAAGAATAAAAGACTGCCAAATGCAGCAATTTATGATTCCACCAGAACGCAACTTATACTCTCTGCCTCAAGTCCCGGGATAGCTCTTCACATTCTCTTGAATTTGCAAGAAAGAGTACAATTTAGTTATCCTTCCTTTCTTAGTGAGGCCTGACCTCATAAAGCTGCTCAAAATACCCATTTGCAGTAGGTTCTGAAGCCAAGACTTGGTTATTGAGGCTAAGGTCTGCCATGATTAGTTATGTCAAGACTTTAATACCTCAAGTCACAACAGGAGGCCCACAATTCTGTTTCTGCCTGAAGAATTAGATGACAGTGTATTCTGTATATACGGATTTTCAACTTGACCTCATGGCACCTGTGCACTTAGCAGTCAGTCCCATCAACACACACAGCTGATTTCCTGTTTAAACTGGAAACATCAACCAAGACCAATGCCATTGCCTTAATAGTACTGGCAGCTAAAATTACTGGGTAGGCAGGACGTTTACCAGAATAATGTAAGAACTAAGCTAGAAGTAGTGAGCACAAGGAAGGGTGCACAGGGGTGGAAAGTTCCCAAAAGTACAGCATGCTCATGCTTAAAATTTAGTGGAATTCAAACGAAAAATATGGAGGATTTTTTTCCCGTACTTTGATGGAATTAGGGCTCCACAAAAACCCTTAAGATAGTTCACCCTTGTCCCCCAGCCCAACAACGAGGATGGCACTAGATGTGCCGACCTATGACTGGAGAACAGCTTTGATTGTAACACTCTGAGAGTGTCACAACCAAAACTATGCACTTGTTTTTCACACTTATATTAGTTTTAAGGGGAAAAGCCCACGGAACCGGAACCCTGCGCTGTAACACGAACACTCCTGACGTAATTTTCCACTTCTGAGACACACGGCGTTTGCTACGTGCTGCCTCCGGGCGCAGCCGGCCCGGGACCAGCCTCGCGGGCCCCGCTCCTGGGCACTTACGGAGCAGCAGAACTGCAGTGCGATCGCGTTCAGCGTGTCCCCTTCACGGATGTCCTTCGTCAGCAGGACTATATCATCCAGCCTGTCCCTCGACGCGCTCCGCCGGACCTTCTCCCTGCCCCGCGGCCGCAGTTCTGACAGCTCACCCTCCTCCTCGGGCCCCTCGCTCTCCGTGCTCACGAAAGGGTACAAGTGACCGCCGGTGAGCGGCTGCGCCACGGCGGACGGCTGCGGGCCGCTGCCAGCGCCTCTGCCGGCCATGCTCCGCGGGTGACCCTATGGAACAGACCGCAGGCGTGGCGCCCTCCGCGGGGAGCCCCACGCTGGCCCCTCCTCCTCGCCCCCGCCCAGCTCCCTCCAGGCTCAGCAACCGCCGGCCACGCCGCCGTGGGGAGGTGAGAGTCGTCCCGTGCCGTGCCGTGCCGTGCCGTGCCGTGCCCAGCCGGCCCGCTCCGCCCCGGACCGCGGCTTTACTTGCCCCCACTCCACATGGTACCCACCGCGATGGCGGCCTCGCTGTCGCGGCCGCGCTGCCACGTCCGCAGCGCGGCCACGCCCAGGCGCCGGCCGCACAAAGAAGGGGGCGGGGGTGGCGGGAGGCGGCCCCGGGGCTTGGCCGTGCCTAGCCGACGGGGCCGGCCCGGCGGGAGAGCGCGTTCTAGTGCCGACTGGCGCTGGCGCAGTCTGCTCCGGTTCGCCCTGCTCCGTACTGGTCCGCTCCGCACTGCCCGCTCCGCTGCGCTGCGGCCCAGAGAGCGCTCTGGCTGAGCTGCTCGGCGTTGGAGGCCGGAGCGCGGGGCCGGCGCTGCCGGGCGATGAAGCGTTTCACCCTCGTCTTCCTGGAGCCCTCGGTGTGCTCTTGCTGATCCTCTTTCTGGAGAAACATAGTTTGCTCAGATGTACGAAGTTGCCATGTATTTGAGTCATTAAAAGGGTTCTTCTGAGACTGTTTTTCCCTAGCGTTCGCAGTTCCACGTTCTGTATCTCTTAGTCCCGCCTGGCTCTTACAGCCTTGCTGCACCTTCAGAAGCTGCCAGGCTGTTTCTTTATAAACCCTTCACACCTGTCCCCTCAGCACTAGTACTGCAGAGGTACAGAAATCTAGCCCTCACTGATAGATCTTTCTCACATCAGAGGTACCACAAATGAAACCCTGTCGATATTTCAACTTTCTTTTCCTAGCGGAATAATTTCTACTCTAGGGGTCTGTCAGCCGCTTTTGGGGTGCTGAGGCAACAGGTGGATGTCCTAGATAGATTTAACTTAGTGTGTATTTTTGCTGACACAGTCTTAGCAGGAAGTTTTGGATTACAGCAGGAGTAAAGTATTAAAAAAACTGATGGCTCTAAGGCTAAATATGTTGTAAAAAATTGTTGAAGGCAAATGAGTTTGCAGGTCTGGTTCTTTAATCTAAAAATAGATTAAATTTGATCTTATGGTACTTTTAAATTAGGGTTTGGGGTTTTTTTCTTTTGTTTTTGAGCCTTGCTAAACAACCAAAGTGGTTAGAAATATGTTTGATATTAAAAAACACAGATTTTTTTTTTTTATGTCTTTACTTTGGAAAACCAGATGTCTTGAGTCTAAAGACATAAAAATAAGAGCTTACAATTGTGTAGCTCTATGAAGTGTCACGTTCACACCCACAGAAGCTTAATTGAAGCCACATTTCCAGATATTGTAAAACAAGCTGTGAAGGTACATTGTGTTCTTGTATGTCAGCCCATTTTTTGTGTGTATATATTACACATTGTATCTACCTTGAAATAGTATTCTGTTGTATATAAGGGACGATCAGTTAAAATAAAGGCATTCACAAGACTGTCTAGGTACTCCCTAGCCAAATAGCATCAACACGAGCAGTACATTTCTCTCAAGAACATAGAGGTTTGCCTGAAAGAGTAGAAATATTCTCAGTTACAGAAGTCAGCACAAAATAACAAGCTGGCCATTTCATGCAGGTCTGATCACTGCTGTTTGTGAAGAAGCATGGAGTAGTACTAGCATTTAAATGTGATATTGTTCCTACAGGAAGTTCCTACAAGTTCATTGAAGCTAATTTTCTGGCTTTCTTATTCTGCACTTGTGAAAAGAGCCCAGTGGATACCTAGTGTAGTCAGAATTTCCTCATACCAAAGTTTCTTATAAGTCCAGACACTTTCTAAACCATTTAGAGGCCTAGTTAAGGGTATTTTCTTGACACTTGGGCTCACAAAACATTTTCCTTGCTGAGTGTTTCAGGTGTAATTAACTGTGAACAGTGTGGTTTCTCCTAGACTGGCGCAATTTCTTCTTTCATAGCATCTTACCAATCAAAGCCTGCTCAGAAATAAGCTTTCTATTTTTATCAGAGGTCAGAAGCACAGCTTGTGCTGATTAACACAGCTGCACTGAAGATTTAGATAGAAGCTGGTATCCAACAAAGCTTGGATTGTCAGATTACATGACAAATGTGTGAACATATTTGTAGGAGTCCCAGAATGATTTTATTTTTGGGCATGCTAAATGCAGGTAGAATGAGCCTTCCACCACTGTATTTCTGGAAAGAGCAGTGTTGAAGATAACAAAATTGAATTAATTTCCCATAAGCCCAAAGTTTTCTTGTGGGATCTTGAGGAAAATTAATTTTAACTTCGAGATTTAGGATTTCATCTATTAAGAAGTACCATAACTTGTAAGGAATATTTGCAGCACCGAGCAGTTCTGTTTTGTTTTCTAAAGGAAGCTTTAGTAATAGAAGTGAAGTAACTGCAGTTATCTGTAGCTGGGAAACTGATGACTCAGATCCTATTCATGCTTTTGAAAGACTGTTTTATGAGACTCATCAGAGCTGCGGGTGGATCCGTAGAGGAGTTTGAAGTCAGAGTTTGTACGCAAGGGTGCCTGCAGTGGTGTCTAATGATTGACCCATCATGCACCACTAATGTAATATCCTTTTGGAGGTTTTTTTTAATCTTTGGGTTGTGAGGCTACAGCAAAGATCAGGAACAGGGAATTTCACCATTTCTTTTATCTACAGAGGTATACCACCAGGTCAAAAAAGAACTGCTGAAGCAGCACTCTGCCTTAGAACGGGAAAAAAGTACTGGAGTTTGCTTTGACCCTGCTACACCCATGTGTGTAACCATTTGTAACTGGTGACATTTTCCCATCAATAACAAAAGAGTATATTCCAAACCTGATGAACAAGACTGGGGCTGCATCGCTCCCATGAATGCTAATAAGAATACAGCCTTTCTCTATTCCCATGTAAGTTACTTTGCATATCCTAATAGTGCATTCTCAATGAGCAAGAGGGTCAGTGTTAATCACACCATGGCATTTCAACAGCATCTGCATGGATCTGTACCACATTCCTCTTGGTCATGTTATTTCTTGTGTGGCCTGATCAGAGCTTGGAAGTATACACATAGAAAGATTAGGAAGATCTTAAGAAATTTTTAGAAAGGAGTTGTAAGGAAAATGTGGAGGGGGGGCTGATATAACTTGTTAGTAATTTTTTATTAAAATCCCAAACGTATTCTTTCCATCTGGAAGCTATCCCATGTCATGTGCCACCACTGTTTTTGTAAGTCATTCTATGATTTGGTGCCACCAGTCTAGATTTGCATTTCAATAACTAGTGTCAAAGTGTCTAAATGTATATTTTAATTCCTTGAATGACAAGATAAATTTTTACTCATTAAGAGATTCACACAGAAATACGTGTACAGCCTTTGTCTGTCTCTGCTTCTCTGCTACGTAATTGGCAGTACAATGGTAGTACAACTGTAGGAAATAGTAATGTCAAGGTAGCTCTGCAACTCCAGTACACACCAAAGGAAGTTATTAAGACATGACTGTAAGATGCAGTAAGAGGAATTTTTCAAGATCTTTATAAAAGTATGCAAGAAGCAAATAATGCTAAATCTGCAGACACCGTATAGTCTGTTCTCCGGTAGAAATATTTGCATATATACATTTAGCTATAATCATAAACCCTTAATATCACTAAGTCCAACCATTGATCCTCAAAACTACCATAAATCCTTTTTATTTAGCAAGGGTCCAACAAAAGAAAAATGGCTTAAAATGACCCAGAATGTATTTGTTTAATTTATTATTGTTGTAGTTTAAATGACAGTAAATGAAAAAATACAATTGGATTGAGACTGTATTTTCCCTGTGTGATACTGTACATATTTGCTGTTCCCCTTTGGTTACTTGACAGGAATCATTAACAATACACATTAATGTGTATTGATAATAGAAATATGCTGTGTGCCTTTCACAATGCAGCCAGTAGGGTGGATTGGTTGTTTGATATTTTATTTTCAAAAACTGTAAATAACTGCATATTTGCTTCTGATTTACTGCTTAAGTACCCTCTGAATAAGAAAATCTATCAGGGAGCCCATTCAGTTATGGTAAAAAGTATGGGAAAATGCAGTATAGTTTCTCGAAAATATCTTTCAAATTATTCACATATGGATTTAGTTATTAGATTTGGAATTCCTATCTGTTGATGAATAACTGTTTTGGTAATGTAATAGATGAAATTATTTTTGGAGTGGGTTTGGGTTTTGTTTTTTTTTTTTTGGTTGTTTGAGGTTTTTCCTTGGGGTTTTTTGGTTGGTTGGTTTTTGGCTTTTGTTTGTTTACTTTAAAGATTATCACAAATTTTTTCCAATTTTTACTGTATGACTGTAATAAATCCAGTCAATAGCTATTACTATTTCATATGTTTTTCCTGCGTAAAGTAAGGAAACCTTTCAGTACTTATCTTCTTTTTCTTCACAGGTAATATTTGCACTGTCTTCAAGTCTTCATCTCATTTGTTTTCAATTGATTAAGCATTCAGAGTTTGTTGACTTCTGTTTTCTTTCTCTAGGTCTCAGTTTCTGGGAATTTAATTTATTTAGATCCTCCCTGAGTTACAGCATTGTTTTTAAAATGCAGATACCAGTATTTATGCAATTTCAAATATCCACCCCTTTAGTTCCACGTACAAAAGTAATTCCACCATCTCAACTACTTGTCACTAATCTGCTGTTGATGTGTCTGAAGATGACACATGCTTGTTTTTTCTTTCCCAGTCACAGAATCACATTGGACACTTATGGTGAGCGGCTTCTCTGCTTGAGTTTCTTCAGATGAAAATGATTCAGAAGACCTTTATTTTAGCTTTGAAGGTATTCAGCAGTGTTAATATGACTTGTTTTAATGGAACCAGCCTATCCGGTGAACTCTATTACTGTAATACTCTCATTCCTGTTCCACTAATATTGATAACACAAACATTCAGTTGTGAGTTTTGTATTTACAGGGAGAGAGTGTGGAGGAGATCTATTTGTAATCCTTGTTGAACTACATATTACAAATATCTTCATGTCTTCATAATGAAATTTTATGTCTGTGACAAAAGATACTTGGGTCTCCACATCTTCCCCTATTGCAGTTGTTTTTGATGGTCAGTGTGATTTCTACTAAGAGCCACACCAGGTAGGAATTACAGGAGAAACGAGAGAGCTCTGATGACTGCAATTGGCTTTGGTACATGTCGGCATACAAAAGGGTATAAAATGCTTCTGGATCTTGGGCCAGTGGGGCAAACCTGAGGCTGCAGGCAGCTTATGTGTAGATCCTCCATTGGCAGGGATGCCTTCAGGGTACATCCAGCCTGAAGGAAGGGAATACTTCTGTGTAGATGAGTAAAAGCAGTAAGATCCGGTCACATATGGAGATAAAATGACAAAGTAGCTCCATAGGTGCTTTGTTGCTTTGTGACTGTGCATTCTCTAAAGCCAAAATCTGTAAACCTGTCTGTTTCTGAACTTGCTGATATTATAACCCTTTAAACCTGCTTATGTTATATACCATATTGACAAAGGTTGTATCTTAGTTGATACAGACTTTCCTCACAAGTTTCTACAGTGAATGTATTCCATATTGGTACATCGTTACCTGCAGCTACAGCTGACAAAAGCTTTCTCTGGCAAACTGTCCTTTGATATCATTCCACTGGGAAGTGAGAAAGTGCCCTCATACTGGCGTTGGTGCCCCTGCAATCCTGTCAGCTCTGCAGCTGCCTCTTCCATGCCTCTTCTGTTCTTACCATGTGAGCAGAGGCCTATAGGCACGGAAGAGAATTCTCTGAAATATCCTAGCATTACTTTCATCCTTTGTTTTAAGCTGCTTTTGGCTGGAAGAGTGGTATATGCTGAGCAGCTTTTTATCAAAGGGAAAGGGAATAGTAGAAGGGAGTGGGAGCAGGACCAGGGAGGCTATCTCATGGAAAGAGTCTGATTCAGAGTCATAAAAATCTTCTATATAGAAACAGGTGTGACATCCACAGCCTGGTAAACTCTTTGTTTATGAGCCTTCCATTTTCACCTATAAGGGCATATAAGTCTAAATGAAACTGTTGGATTAATACTCTCTGCTCCTGATATTAGTAATAAGTAATAATATTGTAGTTGTAAACATCTTACTATGCTGCCTTTCAAATTTTCCACACAAAATTGATTACAACAAAAAACATATATAGCTATTTGTAATATCAAATACTTACCAGTATACAGCTTAAGAAATGGTTGTTTTTCATACAAAACATGTTTGTTTCAATTTTGCATCTGTCATTTCTGGATAAATATAGCATATTTAAAAAAATATGAAAATACTTGTAAAATAAATTATCTCATTCAACTTTTTAAAGCACTTAATATATGATTACAAATATTCAGTTTATGACATAAATATGAGAATGATCTACTTGAAACAGACTCTTGGAAGGGAGCATGTTCATGAATTTTAAAATAGATTCCTTCCACTCTCATTTTCTTACAACTTTTGTCTTTCTATTTGATTTAGTTTCTATACGGGACAGTAGAACACATCAGAAACCTTTAATTCTTTTAGAAAGTATCAGGGATGTGAATGCAAATATGTTACTAGTAATCTTCATCAGGAGAGACAGTAACATAGCCCACATGGCATCAGTAAAATGTATGCAAGATATTAATATGCCTACTGTGACAAGTTGTATTTAATGGGAAGCAACAAAGAGTCTGTTTTATTAGTTTTCCTCCTCACTCAAGTAATAAATCTTAAAAGCTTCAATATTGATTCAATGAAATGAATGGTTGAATCGTTATGGAGAGGCTCTGGCAAATGGACAAATGCTTCCATGGTTACATTGAGCTATGCAGTATGGTTACTGAGCTTTGCTGGTTTCCTCTCTCTGCCATTGAAGTAGAATAACAAGCCACAGGGAAGCACCACACATGATGAGTGTAAACTGGAAACAACTTTAAAAGATCAAGTTAGCTGATCTTATACAGATTTTAAACAATATAGGATTTATTATTTTATACTCTTTGCCCTAAACATGCATTTCAGTAGTTTTTCCTTTGTATATCACTTTCCCATGGAATGGTTTTATTTCTTGCCTGAACAACCTCTCTTTTGATTTGGAATGCCACAAATTAAAAGACGGTGTGAAAATGTGTTTCATAGTGCTGTTACATGAGTTATATTTTGTAGGAAAATTTATGCATTAGATGGTGTGCCTGCATCAATGTGGGCTTTTGCAATACCTTGATAGCAAATAACAAATCATGTTTAGAACTTTTATATGCAGTTGCTTTAGGATTCTTTGCAGTATAAAAATAATTAAGTGGTTTTATTTTCAATCTGCTTGCATTTGAAGTACTCAAATTTCAGGTGTCACAGGGAATAAGTTATTATAAATGCATTACATTTTAGACAGACAATAAAAAACAATGGCATACAATTATTTAATTAGAAATAACATTTTAAAATGTTACAGATCAAGTATTATATTAATAGAGGGAAATTGTGAATGTCTTCAAAGCACAAATGAAACTGTATGTATGAAAAGCAGATTTATTGACAATAGTTATATTCTTTCCCTTGGAAACCAACTCCAAAATAAGCATGTTATCTACTGTATTAGCACTGTTTTATTATTTTCTCCTTTGTGTGCTTGACAGTCCTCAGAAGCACCATCTCAGCATTGGAATGCCAAATTGTTCAGCACCTCTTTGTACAGGCAAGGATGAATGCCAGGATTCCACACAGCCAGGAAAATAAATTCATAAACATGGAAAATAATTACTTCTGAAACAAAAATTCTGGCCTTAAAGCTTTCCATTGAAAGTTTGTATTTATTGTAGGTACTTAATTTCAGTTTCTCAAGTAATTTGTCTTTAATTCTGAGGGGGGAAGGTAATCAATTAGTGAGAAAACATTTCAATGTTTCACTTAAAAAGAGAAGAGTCAATTCTTAAGTTGAAAGATATAGGGGATTTTGTGTTTCCAAGTAGTTCTTTTCCTCATTCGAAAGGAAGCAAACAGAATGCTTAGTTGTGAGCTGGGAAAGCAAGTTAAGTTGTATACAGCATCTGGAATCGTCTTGCTTTTGTTTTTAAATAGTTTTTGAGGACTTTGAAATTAAGACAAAATTAGATGCAGGAGATATAGAGAGGTTTTAATATTTTTATTATATCTTACCTTCAAAAAATGTGCTTTTGTTAACCATTCTATTTGAATTTACAGTCTAGTGCTTGACATGCTCAGAAGTTGTGTGTTTCGATGGATTTTTTTTAGGTTATACTTGTAATACTTATTTTCTGGATAGAATGTACATTATCAGTGACACACTGCAAATGAAGAGGTGAACGCACTTGAAGAAGCAAGACTGCGACTTCATTTAGCAGCAGTCACTGCATAAGAGAAGCAGGCAGGCAGGTCTTGACAAGTTCTCATCTTGCTGTTTCTTCACATGGCACACAACCCAGTAAGCATGCACTTTGGTTTGAAATGAGCTATGTAACATTGTAAGACCATACCAACCCTTCACAGATGACATTCTTGCATCATTAGAATGACATAAATGATCTAAATTGTCTCAAAATGGCATGATGAGCTTGATCACCCAAATCTAAGATGCACTAATTTGAAACAAGGCAGTTATTTTCTCATTAAGTGTTCATTTTTCGTACAGTTTAATATTTAAATTGACATTTTTAAAAAGCCATGTCACTTTTTGTGGAAGTCTTGTCAAATGAGAATTCATTAATCAAAAACTTATGATTATATGAATAGTGATTCCATTGTAATGTGAGTTAAAATATAGCAGCCTTTAATGAGCAGATGCTAGGAACTATTTTCTTTTTCCTAATACTAGGAGTAATTCAAGTTTTTATGTTAAAAGCTCTTTTAAAATGTTAACATCAGCATGCTTTATCTGCATACAAGTAAGGATCTGTACCATAAAAACGTTAATCTTTATTAAATTGATCATAGGAAGCACAAACAAATTCATGTTTGTCCACTGAAAAAACATTAAAAAACATCTGAAAAAGAGCACTATATGCTTGAAAGTTCTCATTTTTCAGTTTCTTAAATCCTGGACATTTCTAAAAAATAGAAGATCAATATCTGAGTTTACCTATATATGTCAGCACATGAACTAGTCTGGCATAAACCGATCAGTCAGAAGTGTAATACTCAAATTTTGTTATATAGTCTTCTCAGTTTATTAGCATTGTTTGCATTTGTCTATTTTTTGTATTTCCTGCATGTGTTTGTTTATTTATCAGGAACCCATGCAGTAAAATCAAGATTATGACATTAAAGCATTCCCAGCCCAACAAAAGGATGTGGTAAAGTTCATGAAAAAGAGCAGTGCAAGTGTCTGGTGTCAGGTGTCACTTGGCAGTGGTTTTGCATTTCTCTGGCATTGGGCAGCTGGATAGGGGTCTCCAGAGAGTGCAGGTAGAACAACCAAAAAGTGATCAGAAACCTCATTTCACATTTTGAAAAAGAGACAACCCAGCCATGATCCTAAGCTGCTATGGGATAGGTCAGAAGCCTGCTAGTACAGACTAGTCAGGCTGTGAGATGAGCACACCTCTTTGGTAAAAGTTTTGGTTGGTTCTGCCCTCTTTTAAAGCTTGACTTAGCATAGTTCCCTGAAGACTATGCTACTAAAGCCATGTTCTATAGTTCTGGCTGCTGTTTCTTTCAATACTGCCAGTTGGAAGTGGTCCCCAGTGTGAATCACACTAAATAATAAGGAAGAAAGGGAAATGCAACGTAGATGTCAGCAAAACAAACAAATCAGAATCAAAAATCGAGCACATGCTGCACATGCACAGGGAAGGATATTAGTGCTTGTGGCCATCTCTAGCATGGTTTATCTTGCAAAAACACTCAGCACCATGGACCATCATTCAAAGAAAATCCACTTTAAAAACACACAAACAAACAACTAACAGCTGACTACCAAGACCAAGTTAATTTCTTGGAGGAAAATATTCTATATCTTGTGATTGCTCTGTGAAGAAGCAAGATGAGCTTCAGTATCTGCCTCAATCTGGGGGATATTATGTATTTTTGAAGTGCATCATATTGGAGAGCTTGATTTATAAATAAAAGGTAAAAATAACTTGTCTGTTATATCATAATTAAGCATTGATCTATGAAAGAGCTATGCACATGCTTCATGTTCCTTGTTCTGAGTAGTTGAACCTGTGCAGGACCAAAACTTCAAAATTTTTTGAATCTCTTTGTTTGGTACTTGCATCCAAATAGGTGCTTAGCCCAGAATTCTGAAGCTTGGATGTTGCAGGTGAAAACACAGGTGAATTTTAGTGGCATTTATGAATAAAAAAAATATTATAGCATTTATTTTTGTTTTTTGATATTTGTAGATTAATATTTCAGTACCTCTTACTGAAAACCAAATGGCACTGATAAAACACAAAAATCTTACTTAATAGAAACAAAAATGCAAAGAAGAGAAAGTACACATGCCTGAAAAACCTTTGTAAGGTGTTTTTTTCTTCTTGCTTCTTTAAGTCATGTGTTCTTTCTCAGGAATTTGTTTCTAACTCCCTCTTCTATGGTCTTTTCTTTCAGATGATGCCAAATGAAGGGAAAAGGCAAGGTTTCAAAACAAACAAACAAACTGGGGTCTGTTGTTTCTGGCACTTTCAGTATTGGTTTACTTGCAGCAGAGCCATTTTTTGCTTACAGAGTTTTAATGATTTCAGAACAAAGGGTATCCAAACAAACAAAGAAGTGAGGTGTGTACTTAATATACCTTATTTACTGGTTTTATTGAAAAGAGAAGCTAAGGCTGACCTGGAGGCATAATTCTGTGCAATGCCAGATCTATTGTAGGTCCAATACCAGTCCTGATTGTTGTCTCTGACATTTGTAAGGGTTGGGAGTGCAGTGTGGGCTGCATGCTGAATTGTTAAAAGTGTGTGTGTAGAGTGTCTGATGTCAATCACCATCATCCTTCCAGCTGCTTGAGGACTATCACTGACAAAATCCTATGGTAGCTGTCTCTCATCTTCACATGTAACAAAAGGAAGCACAGATCCCTGGAGTGGTATGATGAAAATGAAAAAAAGTAACTAGGAAATCCTCAGACTTTGAGTGAAAACATGGAGTGTACCACGTGTTGAGTCAGAGGGCACAGCAAAAGGTGCAGTCATTTTGGGTCTGAATGCAGTCTTGTGGAAAGAGTCCATGAGAATAACCACATGAATTACTGAGCCCGAGTCTGAGTTCTCATTCATCCTTAGCTTTCCAGCTTAGTAATTAGCAATGTTTAATGTGCTCAGGCCTTCTGTGATTGAGAACTAATGACTGCTAAGGCAGCCCCTCTGATAGCTAGTAAGAGGTGAGCTTTGTACAAAAACTGGATGAAAAGAGGAAAACATAAGGTAAATTATATAAGCTGAAACAACATTGTAGAATAAAAGATAAAAATAGTCTTATACCTCTAGTATCCTTTTGGCCAGTTGATCCACAGAAGAAAAACAATATGGTATTTAGATTTTAAAGCTGAAATATAGTAACAGCATGGTATTGAAAAACATGCTGCTTATCTCTCATGTTCATGCATTAAATTCTGACTGGTGGAAAATTTTGCATTTCTAAAGCCAATACTATTAGTATTGGCTTTAGAAGGAATGCTTCTTGCTCCTTTTTTTTTTTTCAAGATGAATATGCATAATAAAGTATTGATCAAAAAAATATGGCCAGATATAAACCCAGGTGAACTAGTGCAAGAAGTGATTAAACATATAAAACAGATTACCAAAGAGAACAACCTGAATTCCTTTTACATGCACAGCACAGTTGTTTAGAAGCAAAAAAATACACTTGAAGTTTTTTTTAAAAGAGAATTTTTGTAATGTTAGGTGAATCACCTCAATATTTCCTCAACTCTTAAGAACTGGAGTTTTTTGTGATTATTAATGTCTACTTTTCCATATGCATATTAGATTGTCCATGACTTTATCAGTTATACTGCAAATTTTTATTTATCAACATTGATTTTCTCTTTAGCTGTATACAGAGTCAATAGAGAGATTCTTCTTACCTAACAAAGCTAGGTAGTAGTCTGAGATAACTATTTGGACTCCCTATTTTGTCAGAGGAGGGAAATAACCACCTCTTAGAGACACTTCATCCTATTCTGCTATGAGTCTACACTAGGCTGGATGGCTTGTTAGGTGGCATGCTTCTACTATAAACATCATTTTTTATAAGCAAATTGTTTTTAGTAAAATGCTTTTTACTAAGTAATTTTTCTAACCTTTCATCATTCTCTAGCATTTTCTTTACCTTTCCATGTCTGTTTACATTATTCCCAAATTATCATAGCTCAGTACAGATTGATGTAGTGACTACGCTAATGACATCAGGAGGCATAGAGTATACTAGATTCTGTCTTGGTTTTGCCTGAATACTTCTGTGCTCTATTTATTCCTTGTCTCCTTTACTGGATAAGAAGAAATTTTGATACTTATATGCTCTTAAGTGGGAGAATCTGTGTGTTTGGGGGCGAACACTGACAACATCTGAGTGTTGCCTTTGTTTCTGTCTTGTGGCTCAGGATTTTCTTGGGATGGTGGTGACCGTTAAATATGAATCTGATATTAGCTAGAGTGAGTCTGAAATGCTTTATCTAGGATTGGAAATTGTTTCTCTAGCAGAGAATTGTTTCTCCACCCTGAGCACTGAATAGCTGTGAATTAAGATGAGCTGCATGTTCGGGTGCCACTGAGAACTTGAATCCAAAATCTGTCATAATCCAATAATAAAACCTGTCAGTTTTGCTGTACAGAATAATACAACAGTGCAGCCCAAGCTGAGTGGAAGACCTGCCAAGGCGCTGGCGGGAGGGGCTGGCTCTATCTCAACTACGGCAGTGCAGCGGCAGTTGCTGGGCTTTGAAAAAATTCTGTCCTCTTCCATCCCACCCCTTTTTATCTCCACAGCAGTGGGAAGGCAGCAGCAGTCAGGAGAGGGAGGAGAGTGCTGGGCGCTGCTCAGAACAGAGGGAGGAGTAGGAGACGGGAATGCATAATGCGTGAGTGACAGGGGGTGTGCAGGCGGCTGTCGGAGTCCAGAAGACGCGGATGTTCCTGTCCCAGGGTCCAGGTACGTTTATTGTCCCTCTCTCTGAGGCAGTAGTTGCTTTGGAAGCATCCTGTATCAGCTGCAGAGATGTTCCCTGTCCAACCTGATGTTCTGCAGGCAGCACCTGTTGCGGCAGGGACGGGGTTTAGCAGCGGCAGACGCTGAGCCTGTCGCTCATCCATCCATGAGGGGCTGCTGGAGGGTGACAGTCTGCTAAGGTTTCTGTTGTTCCAGCAGCTTCTCTTCCTGCTCTGCAAAGCCAGGCAGGGTGGAGACGGTAGTCTTTCCAGTGGAAAATTCTGTTCTCAGGGGAAGCTATCAGGATGCAGCTCAGTCTGAAGCCAACAATTTTTGACTCTCAAAAAGAATAAAACATTGGCAATTTAAATTAGGTGAAAATAGAAGGGTAGTAGCTGCCGATGCACTGTGTATTTTAAAGGAGAGTGAGTTGAAAGTAAGAATGAATTTTTCAAGTCATTGTCTAATAAGGAATGAATTTTAAACATTATTAATTACAATATGAGATGTAAGTGATTACAATTAGAAATACTGCTTTTGCTTCTTGCTTTTGATGTGTTGATTCTATGTAAGACATTGCATAATTCACTCTTGCTAACCCAGATAAAGTTAAGATCAAATGTATTTGGAACTGCTTGCCAAAAATCAGTCATTGTTTTTTAATGAGTCTGTAATTGCTTTATAGTGCAGATATGAAATAACATGTGATTTTAAAAAATCCTATTCGTTATATAGAAGCCAAAAGTGTTTTTGGTTTTTTTTCTTGATAGTACTTTATGCATGTTTTCTAGAATAGATCTTTTAGTTAAGTATTAAGTATTTTGGGACTCAGCCATGAGGACAGTTTAAGAACTGAAGGTAGAGTGTGATATATTTAGTTTATCTGTCCCTTAAGCCTAGAACAAGCTTCTCCTACTAAACAGAGTTTAGCGTTGAAAGACTGAAAAGAACCAGATTCCTGAGGAAATAAAATAATTCGTGGCATAATAGGCTTAAAATTGAAACTGTCAAATGTTTGATAATATAAGAGCTATCACATTTCAAGGGTCTAAAATTTCTAATTTGTAGTTGTTACTGATATTTATGTTTTTATAGATTTCTAAAGCACAGTTTTGTGCTTTAGCAGTTTTCTAATACACTTTTGTGTTTTAATAGCTTTAGATGAAGATATCAATAATGTTTACTAAAGTTACCTCTGAAAAAATTAATTAACATCGATAATGGGAGCACATGCTTATTAGATTGTCAGTGTGGTCTCTGTCCTGGACACATGAAAATCGATGGGAAAATGTTATCTGTTTTTGTGAAATCTAGTGTTGGGCAGTTTATTTGTGCTATCAGTATTTTTAAGGTTGAAAAACAATGTTGGAGGAGTTTCAAATTGTTGGTGCTAGTGAATGAGATTGATCCTCATGCATTCAAATCTGCTGTGCAATTCTTCCCTGAGAAATTGTTGTAAGCTTTATTTGAAATAAATTTTCAGAACTGGGTCTAAATCATAGCCTGTATTAAAATCTCTACTACCCATGGATTTTTATTTAAGCTTATTATCTTCAGTATGTTTTTATTTGATTTGGAATTCCATTAAAAAAATAGAGTGCTTAAACCTACAAATGCTTACATGAATATTTTACTTAGAATGTAAATATGATGACTGAAATTAAAGTATTGGATAAGCTATGATAGCATATTCCTTTAGTTGTGTAACACTAAAGAAGAGTACCACTACAGAGGTCTGTGAGGATCTCATTCATTGGGCAGCCATGATTTATAGCAATTTGTGAGAAAAATATTGATGGTCTATAAATCACCTTTGACATTGTTACCCAGCTACCACTGGTGTTCAGAATTGTGACGTGGTAACAATAAAGGGATATTTAAAATGCATGGTTTAAAAGTTGTCTATGAGCTTAACAGAACTTTAATTTTAGAATGTTTCATTGAAAAATTGGAAAAATATGTTCTTCCCTTTGAAGAAAGGGAAATTTAAAATTTGTCTCAGCTACATCAGAAATGTTTTAGTCCCAGGTGTTTTGGAAAGCCTTGGAACAGTAAAATTTATGTATGACTCTTGCTATTATTTGAGATAGAGTATCTGATGCAATTTAGCTGAATTTTATTTCTGAATAATACCAGCCTCTTCCAGGGTGTTCCTGGTATCAGTCAATTTAGTTGTTCACTAAGAAAAACAAAAACATAGGTAGGCAATAGTAAATAAAAAATATATGCTGAAATTATTTGCTCATGGACTATTAGGCCTTGACCTTCTAAAAATATGATCACATATATAATTATTTTTACATGTGTAATCCTCTTGATCGGCTGTACTCATTTGTAGAAATTGTACTTGCATTACAACTCTACAAGACTGGCCAATTATAGTATAGCCAGTATATATATATAACTGTATATAAATATAAATAAAAATTATATATATATATATATATATATATATATATATAACTGTCATATACACATGAATACACCAGTTCTTTTCCTCTCTAGAAATAAGCTTCTCTCAATATATATTAAGAGTCAGGTGCTCTATAGTATCTCCATAATAAAACTGAATTTTACAAAGACACTGCCGTCAGTTGTAGGCATTGTCATAGTTCCAAAAATTCAAGAATTACGTCTGTCTAATAGGAGTGTCATTACTATTTCTTAAGGAAAGAAAAAAAAAGATTGACAGGGGAAAACAATATTACCTGCCATTTGTCTTACTCCAGGTGGACCCACTGTAACATATTTTATTTGGGAAAAAAAATACTAAATCACAAATGTTTTTGCAAATTTCTGCAAACTCTCACTTGCTTAAGTCACTTTCTCAGGGGATAATATCACTGGGAAATACTTTGTGTAAATAAACACTTCCAAGATCTAGCTAACTTTGTGTGTGAGAACTTGAGGCAGTTTCAGATAGAATTTTCAAGCTATAAGTCTGAAATATGAAAAAATGAAAAATATGAAAAAAATGCTTAATAGATGGGCTTATGAGTATTTCCTATAAAATTAAAGTTCTTGTATTTTCTTGTACTGAAACAATTTGAAAATCCAAACCAAGGTTGTAGTTAAGATAAGTATGCTGGTATTTACTGAAGCAGGCATATTTGACAGGCTAAATTTATCTAGTGAAATTAAACAGCAAAGAAGATGCTTTGCATGTTTATCAGAGCTTTTGTATTTGTGGATTATTTTAATCAGGACAGAATTTTCTCAAGAATGTAACAGCAATGTATATTTGTCCTATACCATGATATTTTTGTTTATCTAATCTTGTATAAATTCATTAATTAGAAAGCTGTTATGACTCTCATTTTCTGATGGCAAAAGAAACTTCTCAGTCACTTATCTTGGACTGGTCCAATATGTTACTGCTCTGAATTGTTTCAAGCTTTACTTCATTAGGGATTTAACATGGCCTTAATTCAGCCATCTGTTACGGGTTTGGCAGGCCAACAGATCTGAGGTATTGGTAAGAGCTTTAGAAATTTCCCACATTTTTAAAGGTTAGGAAGAGAGCTACCTTTATGAATAGATTTTGAAGAATTCTCAGCAAGACAATGGTGCAGAAGTGGGGTAAAAAATGCTTGTCATTCTCTGAAGCACAGGGTCCTCTGTCTGCCTTTAGCTTTGCTGAAAGGCAATTAGCATTTCAACCAGCCAATTTGGTTACATGCAATGAAGTATGTGGGTTTGTAATTTGCTGCTTTTGGCTTGGTGCTGTTGAGAACTAGCTTTGTGTAATCCTCTCAAAGCACCTTTCTTTCCTGCATAGTTATTGTTGCTGGTCTTAAATAACTAATCAACAAAGAGCTTTCCTTGTCTTGGACTGCAGGGTGCCTTAGAAGAATGAAAAGAAATACCCAGTTAATAAGGGAATTATTCTAATTATTAAATAGTGATTAATAAATTGTGACATGGGTTAAAAGGTTTAGAAAGCCAGGCAAAGTAGAATACATGATAAAAGTAGTGTAAGAAGGCTTTGGATCCAAACAAATTTTGCTTAAGGGTTCTCTTCTCTGAGAAATAAATACTTTATTATATGTTTTATCTAAAAACAAATTGCCTGGATTTAAGGGATAAATACATAGTATAGATTAGAGTGAGGGCCCCACACTAATCATCTTTACAAATTACACTAATGTGTTTTTACTTCTACAGAAAGAAGTCTTTGGGGGACTTTGTAACACACAGATTCTTTAATTTGTTGCAATCTAATGAAAAATTATTACATTTTACTCTTACTTAGAAAAGAAGCTTGTTTTATATATGCCTTAAATTCTTGTATCAAATAATATGCTTTTTTGAACTCAAGAAAATCTCTCTGATTCAATTATTGTAATAATTAGGGAACACATTAAAAATTCTGTTTGTTTCATATATGTGTATTAAATTGTAAGAACCGGTTATGGATAGCAACAATTCTGTCAGTGTACCGGAAACAATGCCATCTTATCCTCGCCATGAGGTTTAATTTTGCTATTCTGTACCCTAAAGTTTTGGGGTTTTTTCTTGCAATAAAATTATGTACAAATTATGTATAATTATGCTTCTATTTTTAGTTTTAAATATGAAAAAAAATAACCACTGTACTGCAGAAACCCATGATTTCTTTTCTGTTATATGCTATTGATTCAGGCCATGGAACTTCCTTCACAGCAGATAGTAGGTATTTGAAACTGTGATTGTTTTGTCCTCAGCTGCCAACATACGTTCTCAGCATTTGTTATGTCAGAGCATGGAGGATGTGCAAGAAACCTCCAAAGTTGAGATACAAATGGAAATTATTGCGAAGTTTAAGATCGCTACTGAAGTATAATAAATGGCTGCTTTGCCATGAAGCCAGCTGACCTTCATCAGCTGGATCTCTGGTTCCATATGTGTTAAGAGTCCGATCCTGTGGCATGCTCA